AGAGCTGGCCCACTGTGACTCAGTTTTCAGCTGGACTGTGGATCATGATCTGGCATGTCCTGGAAAGTTGGCCTTTTCTTGGGAATTTGTGTTTTCTTAGGTTTTCCAGTGACCCTCACAGAGGGTGGAAATATTTCAGATAAGGTCTCTTTGGGGAAAGGGACGTGGCTCCTGTCCTTCGGCTTTGGCCCTGCGATCTGTGGGGTCTGCTGGTGCTGGGGTTTTGTGCTCCTGTTCACTGGTGTCTGTGGTCGAACCCGGTCACTCTCAGGACTGCAGTGTCCTTTCCAGCTGTGGGTGGCCTGTCGTGCGGTGTGAATGAGACGATAAAGCACTTTGCAGACTTGGCAGTTTTATAACTCAGAAACTGTGCTTGAACCCTTCTTTTTAAAGGATTGGAATTAACTCTGTTTCAGGAGAAAACGTTTATAGCAATGACTGTGTTAAGTCACAAATGGTATAATTTTAGTGGTTTGCCGGGCAGGCCCAGTTTTCTGAACATTGTCGTTGAGGCGGGAACCCAGAGCCGACAGTGACTCACAGGTTTTTGTGAGCAATAGCCTGCCTTCCCTGTGTGTCATCACCGTGGAAATGTGTGGGGTAGGGTGGTCTCCAGAGTCAACACGTGTCTGTTTGTAAGGCCAGAGCTCGGTGTCCACCTTCTCTGCCTCATTCAAGCAGGGAGCCCTGGTGCCTCTGCAGTTGGAAGCACCGGGCGTAGCTCTCTGGGCTGGGCTGGAAGAGGAGAGGAGCATCTGTGGCTCTGTGGTCAGGAGACCGCGCTGCCAGCCTGCCAGTCTGAGCCAGTGCTGGGTTAGCAGTGATCTGTTTTATTAGTCTTCTTTTATGTATGTGAAGTAAGGAAGAAAATTTTACTCTCAGTTAATTTTGATACACAAAATTAAAACAAACTTTTCATTGTCTTAGAAACAGATTTTCATAGGCAACTTTTAAAATTTATTTTTATATTTAAATTGGTTGGTTAGCATACCTTTTCTGCTAAGGAATTGTCAAATGTTTTAAATCTGAGAAAGTTTATTGTCTTGCTTTGGTGACTCAGCATCAGGCACATCAAGGCTCTTCTTTTTTTATTTTTTTTTTAATTTTTAATCCTCACCTGAGATGCTTAGAGAGGGAAAGGGAAGGAGGAGGCAGAGGAGAGGAACATCAGTTAGCTGCCTCCCCGCCCCGCCGCACATGCACCCCAACCTAGGACGAAACCGTGACCTTTCAGTCTACAGGACGACGCTCCAATGCACCGATCCGCACCAGCCAGAGCAAGGCTCCTCTTGTGTTAATGAACTGTTTTCACAGAAGGACATGGGTGTGAGACCTTTATTTCTCGTGATGACTTTTACTGTAGGTTCGTTTTGTTTTTTAATGACAGCTTTATTGAGATGTAATCACATCATAAAAATCACAATTATTTATTTCAGTGGCTTTTAGTATATTCACCAAGTTGTGCAGCTATGACTGCTGTCCAATTCCAGGACATCTGTGTCACTCCCCACCCATGAGCAGTCTCTCCTCTCTCCTGGCCCCTGGCAACCACAGACCTACTCTCTGTGGACTGCCTTTCTTGGACATTGGGTAGAAAATGAATCCTATAATATATGCCTTTTTGTGTTTGGTGTTTTTTTTTTCACTTAGCATAATGTTTTTTAGGTTCATATATGTTATAGCATTTGTCAGCACTTGCTGTTTGCTTTCTGTATATCTGAATGTCTCTTTTTCCCTCTAATCTTTCATTACTGCCTTCTTTTAAAAAATCTTTAAAGATTTTATTTATTTATTTTTAGAGAGAGGGGAAGGGAGGTGGGAGGGAGGGAGAAAGAGAGGGAGAGAAACATCGATGTATGAGAAAAACATCTAACAGTTGTCTTTCACACACCGCCAATCAGGGACCTGGCCTGTAGCCCAGGCATGTGCCCTGACTAGGAATCGAACTGGTGACCTTTTAGTTCACAGGCCGGTGCTCAATCCATGAAGCCACATCAGACAGGGATCGAGTTTTCTTGATGTTTATATTTTTAGTAGTGTTGAGTTATTTGCTTAGTGCTTGCCCTAGGGCACAGGTGGCAAACACAAGGCCCTCAGGCGAATCCAGCCCTCCACCTTGTTTTATCCACCCAGCATCTTGGGCACCTTGTTTCTACCTGGCGGCAGTGCCCAGCTCTCACTTAACTGTTAGGGAGTAGTTACATTTACACAGTCCTAAAGTTGCATTCAGCAGTCGGGAGACTGATGCACTCCCCTGCCTCTGCCCCCAGCCTCTGTATAAATGAGTTTGAAACCCCTACCCTAGGTGTTACAATGAACATCTTGTTGTAACATTGTAGTTCATATTAATACTAACTTAAGGTTAGTAGTTTACAAAATCATTCGGCTTATATAGCTTCATTCATTCCTCCCTCCTTTGTGTTAATGTTGTTGTACAAAGTACATCTGTATGCATTTTATGCTTATTGCTTTATGTAGTTGTCTTTTAAATCAGATAGGAGGAAAAAGAATTACTGACAAAAACTACACTTATTTTGTCTTTTATATTTACCTGTATAGTTACCTCCTAATTCTTCATGTGGATTCAAGTTACTGTCCAGTGTCCCTTCATTTTAGCCTGAAGAACTTCTACTGTTTCTTTCAGAGCATGTCCACTAGTGATGAATTCTGCTAGTTCCAATTTATCTAGGAGTATCTTAATTTCTCCCTCATTTTGAAACGAGTTTTCTGGGTACAGAAGTCTTGGTTGATAGTCTTTTCCTTTCAGCATTTTGACCATGTCATCTCCCTGCCTCTTGACCTCTGGTGTGTGATGAGAGCCAGCTGGCTGTTCTGAGGGTCCCTTGTGTTGAGTTGCTTCCCTGTTGCTGCTTCAAGACTTTGTCTCTTTCAGCAGTTTGCTTATGATGTATCAAGGTGTGGGTATCCCTGAGTTCATTCTACTTGGAATTCATTGAGCTTATATGTGTAGATTCTTTTTTTTCATCAAATTTGTGAAGATCTTGCCCTTTTATTTTTGAGTATTCTTTCTGCCCTGTTGGCTTTCTCCTCTCTTCTGGGATGCCTGTTGTGTGCGTATGGGTCTTTGATGCTGCCCCACACACCTTTAAGGCTTTGCTTACTTTTCTTCATTCTTTTTCTCTTCCCCCAGCTGACGTGCCTTCCTGTTCACTGCTTCTTCTGCCCACTCACATCTGCTGTTGAGCTCCTCTAGTGAAGTTTTCATTTCAGCAGTTCCACCTTTCAGCTCCAGACTGTCTCTCTGGTTTCTTCTGTAACTTCTCTTTGTTGTGAGGTGTTTAGTTGGACCACGCTGTCAGGGCTCTGACTGGCAGTTAGCAGTGCTGCCTCGGCTTTCACTCCCGCTTGTGCAGAGCTGCAGGGCGAGGGGGAGGTGAGGGCTCAGTGTCTTTTCAGGTCTCTCTGGGCATGCGCACAGCCCTGCACATGCTCATGCCTTCTAAGTTCCCAGCTGTGTGTTGGAGCTTTTTAAAGCCCCCTGTTGACATCCATTTTCTAGTGTTTCCTTTTAGATTTTTGGTCAGCTTCTTTTAGCACCAACTGTTGCCATAGCCTCAGGCCATGTGATGTTAAGTAGTTGCTGCTGGTTGTGACAAATAGCTTGAGGATAGCATTGTTGACACAGAGTGTGCTCTGCCTCAGGTCAAATGAAGAACAGCTCTGAGAGTGGAGCATTTCGGTGAGTTCCAGGACAGGCCAGTTCCTGGCAGTTGTTGGGTGGCCCTATGGGGGAGCTCTAACCTCCCCCAATGGCTTCTGGGCTGCTGCTTTCAGACTGTCCCTGAGGTTGAAGTGATGGGATTAGGGTGGGTTCTAATGCCCCAAAGCTTGCTGCTCTGGTGGATACCCAGCCTTTGTTTGCTGTGGGCGGAACTCGGTCCAGGGGAGCTCTGCCACTGCAGATGAGAAAGAAATCATCTCAGACACAATCTCGTTGTTCCGGTGGGAAAGGGGGGCGATTCCCTCTAGTGCGGAATGCCCCGAGCCCGTCTCATGGCTCTTATTGGGAATGGTATGTGTAGATGTATGCAGCATACATGCATAGTCCATCAGTCAATGTCAGAAAGGCTGTAGTCATACAAAAACAGGTATTAGCTACAGATAACAATTGAAGGAACACAGAGATGTGTCATAGGTCAGGGTCTGTTAGTCGTGTTGATGCCAGAAGGTCTGTAAGACGTATTTCATGAGATGAGGAGTTTACTCCTTATGCCTTGAACTTAAACATCTGGTTTATATCTACAGAGCCACACAAAGCAAAGCAGAGCAAGCTTCAAAGGATACAATGTATTTATCAGGCCCGATTCCCACAGGAACCCTTGGCGTTACAGTCGGGTCATGTCTCCCTCCTACGTTACCTGGTTTTCCAGGGAGACTTACTAGCCCCTTTGAGAGTCTGCTCTCGAGGGGCTGCAGTCTCCGAAACCACACAGAGTGCTCCCCAGCAGTTTACAATAAACACTGTAGGTTATTGTGGGCCTTTCCTAATTTCCAGAGCCCTGGAAAAGTTGATTTTGATGTTTTTGCCAGTGTTCCCAAGAGTGCTTTTGTGGAGGGGTGTACTATAGTTCTGAAAGTGCTACCTCTGTAGTTTTTTTGAATAAAGAAAAAGCTTATTTCATTTCATTAACACAGTTTAATTTGTTAGGTGAACTTTATTTAAACATCTTTTTAAATTTAAGAAGAAACAGCATTTATTTTTTAAAAACAAAGGAACTTAGGTTTCTAAATGTTTTGGGTTTTGATGGTCATGATGCCCTCTTGATAGAGAATTTCTTAATGTGACCATTTGGGAAGTGCGTGTTCGCTGTGGGTAGTGACCTTGGCCCTTTTGATCCCCCCCTTTTTTGGCACAGCAGTGAATGTTTCAGTACATGTTTGTGGAATGAATTAAGTTCTTGTGAACAGCAGAGAAATGAAACAAGCATTATTTTGTACCTTAATGTCATTTTTTTGTTCTTAATCATGTTTTTGTACAGGGTGAATTTGAACGTGAAAAGAAAGCTGCTTTGCATGAAACAAAGGAGAGACACAGACTGGAGTGTGAGCAGGCACAGTCTCTTCACCAGAAGGAGACGGAGTCCCTGTCTCTGCAGCTACAGGAGAAGAGCAAGCAAATTCTGCAGGTGCGTAGAGGTGCCTTTGCTTCTTACCTTCTGTGTATGTGGTAAAAACGTGCATAACATGAACATTTCCATTCTGACCATTTTTAAATGTACAGTTTGGGGGCAGTAACACATTAACACTGTTGTGCAGCCATTGCCACTGTCCATTTCCAGAATTTTACCATCTTCCCAAACGGAAACTCTGTCCCTATTAAACACTCCCTGTCCCCCTCCCCCAGTCCTCGGCACTTAACCATCTGCTTCCTGTCTGTACGAGTTTGAGATGTGAAATCATACAGTGTGCGTCCTTTCGTGACTGGCTCGTTTCACTGAGGATGTCCCGAAGGTTCATCCATTTTGCAGCCAGTGTCGGAATGCCCTTCCTTTCTGAGGCTGAGTATTCCTCTGGATTCGTGTTCCTGTAAGAACTGTTCAAACCTGTGGAGAGCTTTTGCTTCACTTCTAATTTATGATTTTATTCTCATCCAGGGACATATTTTCATCGCTGAGAGATAGAGACAGAGAGGGAAACTTCAATTGGTTGCCTTCTCTTACACACCCCAACCGGGGATTGAACCCACAACCTGGGTATGTGCCCTGACTGGAAATCAAACCCACGACCTTTTGGTCTATGGAATGATGCTCCAACCAGCTGAGCCACACTGGCCAGGGCCATAGAGAATTTTAAAAGAAATCCTTTGAGCCACCTGATGGCATGCCGGAAGTAAGCTCTCAAATACTCCAGAGAATAACTGTGTGCAATTCTTTTTATGCATTTGGAATTCAGGAGGGAATGTGAGGTAGATGACATACAGGTGGAAGAAGACAAGGTGGGGGTTAGATACAGTATAGTTAACAAGATCATGTCTCCCTGGAGGTTGGGCAGATGTAACAGTAACAATTTAAAATTTAATATAATGATTGCTCTTCTTTAATTTTTCTGGTCATTTTTGTTAAGATGTTTATTTGCCCTTCGCTTCCTCTTGGTCGTATGTTAGGATCTTCTCCCACCTACCATGTGTTTTGGCAAAGGAAGGGAGCAGAACAGGCTGAGAAGAGTCTGCTGTCCCACAGGCTTTCTGAGTGGAACTAGCCATCGTGGTGTCCTGTGTGCCCTGGCACCAGTCATGGGTGTAGCTGACCTGAAAGTCATGGATACGGGGCTCAGTGCAGTGAGGCTCTAGGTGTCCGCCATCCACTGACCAGTATTCACTGTCCACACTTCAACAGCTTGGGCCATAGCCCAGCCTTGAATGGTCTGGACATGCAGGTTCATGTGCTGGTGGCATTTGATGGACATGGTTCATCTTCTGGATCTCTTCATTCTTGGGTCATTTTTTGCCATCTTGAAACTTACAATTCTCTATTTATTCCATCTTTAATTTTTCCAGCTACTATGTGTCTGTTCGACATAACTAATGGTTTATAGAATCCTAGTTCTATTTTCATTTCCCTGCAAGCATTGAAACTGTGTTTAGTTTGCAGTTCTTGCCTGCAATAAATTGGCTTCAAAGTTACACACTTCTTCCTGAGGCTTGTGTTTTCTGTTTGTATTTTCTAACGTTACTTATGGATCCTGCACTGATGTTTTCTTGTTCATTTTCTTCACTCCACAAAGAAGAGACATCCATGGCAGTATGGCGCTGTCCCTGTACTGCTTCTCCACCTGCTGTGGCTCCTTCTGACCCATCCTGGCCGAGGCCATGACATGTCAGCTCGTTGGTTCCTTGTAGCTTTGGGTTGTCTGGTTGTCCTCCAGAGAGGTGGGACTGGGGGGCGGGTGGCCCCGCTGGGCATGTGCATGGTCTCCTGCATCCTCTGTTCTTTCATGCTCCGTGGGGAGGACATCCATGTTCTTGTCAGTCAACTGGACCAAAACCGAGAAGTTGCTGCTGTTGGCGATGAGCTCAGGGACTCAGGTTGCTGCGTTGCTGGAAGACACATATTCTTTAAGCTTCTCAGGTGATCTGGGAGCCCATGGTAACTGGTGTTGCCTACCCACCCAGCCCACTGAGACACTGCAGTCACTGACTTTTTGTTTTTAGAAGAAATTTGTAAGATGGATCTTCACTTGTCTGGCAACTGATTTTTATTCTGAGTGACCAGAAAAAAGATTTTGTTTAGAGTTACTAATTTGTGAGGATAATTTCTGATGAATTGTCCCCTCTCTTTCCCTCAGGGGCTGGCAGGCTGGAAGGGCTATGTACTCCGTTTCTGTAGGCAGAGAGTAATGGAGCAAAGACTGTGTTAATACTTTTCACCCTAATCACTGCCTTGTTCGTCTTTTGTCTTATTTTTATTAAGTTGGATGATGAAAGTTATGAAACCTCTTTATAGAAGTTTACTTTTAACTAAATTATTTTAACTAAAGCTTTAACAATTTTTCTTCAACAGCTGGAAGACCAGATTTTATCCTTAAGGCGTGAGATAGAAGAGTGCCGTTCGGAACTGGAGACATTACAGCAAAGGCGGGACAGGGAGAACCAGGAAGGCACGAACCTCATCTCACTGCTCAAGTCCGACGTGGACCTGTCTCACAGCGAGAGGTCAGCACCCTCCTCTGCCAACCCCCAAGCACACATTGATGTCTAGGGAAAGGGACCCTTGGCTGCACGATTCTTACCATTTAAAAAGATTTTAGCCCTGGATGGTATGGCTTAGTGGATTGAATACCAGCCTGCAAACCAAAGGGTCACTGGTTTGGTTCCCAGTCAGGGCACGTGCCTGGGGTGTGGGCCGGGTCCCTGGTAAGAGGTGTTGGAGAGGCAACCAGACATTGATGTTTCTCTCCCTCTCTTTCTCCGTCCCTTCCCCTCCAAAAATAAATACGATATTTAAAAAGTAAATAAAAATGAAAAGATTTTAAACATTAAGGTAAGTACAAAGTAACATCCAGACCTGCATACCAACCATTTTGGAATTCAGGGGGGAATGTGAGGAAGATCACATAAAAAAAAAGCTTTACATTTTTGCCTACAAAATTTGGTGTTATGATGCAGGCACCATTCGTGATCTGCAGAACTTCCCCTGTATTTTGTCTCAGTTTTAGTTATGCTTGTTCTGTATATTAGTCTGGAGTACTTCTGGAACTGTTCAGTTGTTTATTTGCATCTGATGTCAGGAAATTCATTTTTGTCTGTCTGAGCAGCTACTCAGCGTCCCGCTTGTGGGCAGGCCTTTTCTTGGGCCCTTTCATCCAGGCTGTGCCCAACGACTCGTCTCTGCCCAGGGTCTTCTCCGGTTGTCCTGTATTGGCCTCAAGGGTGAAGAGACACCGGGCGGGATAGGCCGGCTTGGCTTATTCCTGAGCTTGAAGTATGGGATTCATGTCTTTCTCACTAAACAGGTCCCCACCAGGTCTCATTTTATCTTTCAAAAGCATCATAATTCTCTGTGAAGATGTGCATGCTTTTCTAGCACTTGTTTGCAGCAACTGTGGTTTGCTGTGGACTCCTCGGTCACCCCAAGCCACTGCTGCAAGTGGAGTGCAGCAGGCTCTGTGGCCAGCAGCTCTGCATGCGGGAAGGACATGGCAGAGGGCAAACGACCCGCAGGCGTTTGGATGTGTGTCCAGCCAGGCGAGCAGCAGCTGTAGATGCCCGGACACCCACTAGGGTTTGGCATTTTGGGGGATCATCATAGGAACCAGGGGTTGGCATGCTCTGGACAGGGTGCGAGGAGGAGGCAGGGCCGGCTTTGAGGGAACCTTTTGGCATTTTTCTCTCAGAGTAGAGCCAACACTTGCCCTCCCTGACCCACCATCTTTGTGGTCATTCTCTTACCTTTCCCTGAACCTTAACCCCAGGGCCCTGGGTAGCAGCCAGGAAGCTGTTAGGCCGCCCACCCCCCAAGGTTTTTGTGGTTCATGCAGTCTGCCCACTGTCCCCTCATCTCTCCTCACAGTGCCTGCTGTGTCCCTCACTGGGAGTGTTAGCTCTGGGAGGTGTGGCTCAGCCTGTTTTGCTCAGTGCTGTCTCCCATGCTGAGAGCACTACCTGTGTGGGGCCCTTGGTTGGGAGTGCGCATGTGAACAGGTGGGAGTGGCTGAGCCCCTGTCCTGCCCTCTTTGGCCCCCCATAGCTACAGGCAAACTGTATGCCAGCTGTAGCAGTTTGCCTGCAGCTATATCCTAGGTGGAGTCACCACAACAGACCAGGTGCATGGGCTGGTCTGGAAGGGTACGGCTTGGAGACAGGGTGCAGGCTGAGTCCTGGGCCTGTGAAGAATAAACCTCACTGACCTCCGTAGTATGTGTGGCCCCAGGGAGAGGCACAGGAGAGCCACGGTGAACCTGGACTGTGTGTCAGGTGTGAATAGATGACTCATGAAAGTCAGGGCCCTGAGGGTCAGGGAGGCCGTGCCATGGAGACGGGTGGGGTTTGTGCATCAGAGAAGAGAGCAACTGTGGGGATGGTTCTACATGAAGCCCTTGCCCTGTGCTGGTCGGCTGGAGGCCGACTCCAGAGAAACACGCTGAACGAATAATACCAGGATAATTTAAAGATGAGCATTAGCAGCAAGGTCTGCTCTGCTCCTGTGGCAGAGCCACCTAGCTGGGGTCCCAGCTGAAAGTCACCACCCACTGTGCTTCCCCTCCCAGGACAGCTCTCCAGGAGACCCTGCGGAGGCTGCTGGGCCTGTTTGGAGAGACAGTGAAGGCTGCCATCATCCTGAAGAGCCGGATCAGTGAGCGCGTGGGGCTCTGCCTGGAGGATGAGAGTCTGCCCAACACGAGGCTGGGGGGCCAGTCCCCATCTGCAGGTGAGAGCTGGATGGGCCATGTGCAGCCCCAAGATCCAGGTGCCACAAATCCCCTGGGCTGTTCCTCCCTCTTGCTAGCACCAGTGAGCCCACTTCTTACTGAAATGGGTTGCTGTCCCTATCAACATGGGCATGCTCATTCCTGACGCCTGTGTCAGGTCACTGTGCACGTTTCGTTGTGGTTCAGGCCTTTGTGTTTGCTCTCTGTAGTGCCAACACTGGATGAGATGTGGCCTGGGCCTGACGTGACCCTGACAGAGCTGGATAAAACTTTGACTGAATGCACTGAGGTGTCTTCCATGGCTGAGATCAGCAGCCACATCCGTGAAAGTTTTTTCATGAGCCCAGAAAGTACACTGGAGTGTGAGCAGCCCATCAGGAGCATGTACCGGAGCCTTGGCCTGGCAGTGGACAGCCTCCTGGAGATGGCCCTGGACTCCTCCAAGCAGGTGAAACATGGCCCACTCTGCGTCAGGCTTGCCACCCGTTCTTTGCTCTGTGGCCTCATCTGGTCCCTGCACTAGTGTCTGCCTCAGGACAGTGGGTGAATGAATAAGTAGGTTGGATAGATCGGTGGACCTTCTGCATTAGTGTTTCTGATTCTCACCAGCCCCATAGGGTGTAGGTGAATGCTTTGATTCTCTGGGTGGACCTGGCCTCTTTCTATTCTTTCCTGCACCTGGTGTTGGGGGTTAGAAACTGTTGATTCTGCTGCTCAGACCCTTCTTTTCTTCCCCCTCATTGGAAGGGTCACTATCTTCCTCCGAGGGTCTCCTTGAGAAGTCTTCTGAACCAACATTTTTGAGGTGTAGTGGGCTTGCTGCGAATGAAAAATGAAACCTCAGCATCCTTAACTTAGATGATGTATAATTTAGCCCACTTCTATTTTTATTCTTCTTTCATTTAAAAAAAAAAATCCTCACCAAAGGATATGTTGATTGATTTTAAAGAGAGAGGAGGTGGAGGAGAAAGAGAGAAGCACTGATGTGAGAAACATCAATCAGTTGCCACTTGTGCACGCCCCAACCGAGGGTCATACCTGCCACCTTTTGGTGTACGGGACGATGCTTCAACCAGCTGAGCCACCTTCCAGGGCTCTGCTTTTCATTCTGTACGATTTTATTTCCACATTCAAAGATTGTCACTGAAAAAAGAAATTATGTTGGTTAACCCTTTGAGGACATTTTAAGTAATAGGAGACACATTACATAGGAATAAGTGAGAGCAGTAAAGAGATTCTTTTTTTCCCAGAGTTTGCCCAGTTAAAAAATAAACACTCTTATGTGAAACTTTGCTGTTCCCATCTCAGAAACAGTGATGTTCCTTCCTCAGGGTGGGTGGGCAGAGCAAGTGTCAAGACCTGACATCTCCTTCTCATGCCCCCCCACTGCCTGTTCCTCTTTCGCCTCCCACCTTCTTTCAAAGCCTGGACAGGTTTGGGCAGCAGCCAACAAATCATCAGGTGCTTTTGCTTGTGTCTTCTACCCCACAAATGTCATTACATGGAAACAGACACCCTTCTATGGGCATCTGGCATCTGCCATCTGCAGTTGTCACCAGGCTGTGGTCCTGGCCTGATGTTCATGGGCCCACACTTGCCTTTCCCATGTCCTGCTCCTTAGAAGTTTACCGCATGGAGTGCGTTCCACAGGGAGCTTGACCATCCCACCAGCAGGGGGAAAGTGGGGCATGTGGGAGGGAAAACAGGACAGGTTTTGGGGAGGTGGGGTGAGTGGAGCAGAGTTTGTGGGAGGTGGGCCAGGCAGTGGCAGGAGGGGAGTGAGAGGCCTGCTCAGGTCAGGTTCAGTGATGGGGCTGCCTGGTGGCTGTTTGGCAGGGCCAAATGTCCTGAGAGGACAGACACTGTGACAGGCGTCCTTGGGTGCTGTTTTCAAGATAAAACCAACAGGTTTTCTTAGTGGCTGAGTTTCGTCAAGTACATGGGATGGCCCAGGATAGGTGCTGAGTTGTCTGTCTGGACAGCTAAGAGTAGTCATCTTGAATTCAGAGATGAATTAGGGCCCCGCAGCCTGTAGATGGCCTGGGATCCTCCCAATAGACATGCCAACTAGAAGAGCTGGCAAGGGAGGGAAGATTGGGGCCCACGGCTGAGGCAAGAAGTGGGGGCATCCATCCAGAGAGGCCAGGAGGCTTCATGGGGACATGTCAGGGAGGTGGAAAGCATCAGGGTTCCTGCTCATTGTGGTGACTGGCCCCAGCGTCAACTCTTGCGGTGACTTCCCACCCTTGTGGCCCTTCCCATCTTCTTCTCTAAGTGTGCATCCAGTGGCTCATCACTGCCCAGGTACCAGGCTCTCAGTGGTCATGTGCCCTTAACAGTGTTGCCATGCAGAGACGTGTATCCACGGTTCATAAGTGCATGATTCTGGTTGGTTCTATGTGCACAGAATTGTCCGTTGTTGAAAATTTGTTGAATGAGCAGTTTTCTTCAGTAATTAACATAACATTGAACATGGAAACTGTTTCTTATAGAATGTTGATTTCACCAGAATTCTAAGCAAGTAGAATTCTATTGGGATAAATGCAAGCTTTGATTATTTTTGATATGCAGTTCCAATTTTCAAATTTTCAGCTGGAGGAAGCACGCCAAATTCATGCTCGTTTTGAGAAAGAATTTAGCTGTAAGAATGAGGAGATGGCCCAGGTCGTTAGAAAACACCAGGAATTACTGGAACGCCTGGAGGAGGAGAACTCGGCCAAGACACAGCTGACTCTGGAGCTGCACAAGGCAGAAGGTGAGTTGCTGGCGGGCCAGTGAGGACAGATTGGAACTAGGCACTGCCTTGCTAAGAGGAGGTATTAGCACAGGTTTTTTTTCTTTAAAGATTTTATATATATTTATTTAAAAATATATATTTTATTGATTATGCCATTACAGTTTATTTATTTTTAGAGAGCGGAAGGGAGGGAGAAAGAAAGGGAGAGAAACATCACTGTGTGGTTGCATCTCACACACCCCCTACTGGGGACCCAGCCTGCAACCCAGGTACGCGCCCTGACTGGGAATCAAATCGGCAACCCTTTGATTTGCAGACCAGCATTCAACCACTGAGTCACACCAGCCAGGGTAGCACAGAAGTTTTTTTAAACAAATGGTGTGAGGCATTAGTGACTTTCCTCGGTGTAATGGATTGCCTCTGGGAGGAACTGGGGGGGTAGCTTTGGGGATGGTCAGGGTTGCAGCAGACAGGTTTGTGGGCCATCCTGTTCCCTGGTACTTACCTTCTGCTTTTTGGAGGGCAACAACCAAAGCATTTCATGGCATGGTGAGATGTGAACTTCCATCTTCCCATCACAGGTGACGGGGAGAGAGTGTCCCCCACAGTCACCACTATGACTGCTTCTGACTCCTGAGACTCTGGAGTCTGGCACGCCCAGTGGCCATGTGTGCCAGACACTTGGCACTAGTGGGTGTGTGTAAATGGGTGCTCCCAGGTGCGTTGCCTTGTCTGGCAGCTCCCGTGCATGCTTGGGAATTCGGGGTAGCCCTGTGCTGTTTAGCTAAGAAACAGACACAGGTGTAACCACTCGGCTCTCATGCTGATGCCAGGGCTGCTCTTGTCTGCCCAGCTGCTTCATTCACTCCTCCAGTGGGGCTTCAGCAGTCATGTGTCTCCTGCCTCCTCAGGCATCATCGAGGGATTCAAGGTGGAGAAGGCCAGCCTGCAGGAGGCACTGGGCCAGAAGGAGATGTCCGAGCAGGGCCTCGTGGTCGAGCTGGAGAGCCTGAAGCAGCAGCTTCATCGGGTGACTCGGCAGCAGGAAGAGCTGAAGGAGGAGAACTCTGTCCTGTGGCACCAAAAGGAAGTGGCAGCTGCAGAAGCAGAAGAGAGAGAAGCTGGTAAGAAAAGTCAACAAGCCAGGCTTCACATCTCTAGATGGTGGAAAGACGGCAGCACTTTCCAGAGGGAACCTTTGTGTGTGTGTGTGTCTGTGTGTGTGTGGTTTTGAGAGGGGTGCAAGGTCAGATCAGTATCCACCTGTCCTCCTGGTTCCCCATCTCTGAGGTCAGAGTAACCTCTAGCAAACAGGTCCCTGAAAATGTCACCAGTTTGCTCAAGCTAAACAGCCAAGACCTTGAAAAAAATGAGGGTAACTTAAAAACTTTATTTAAAATTAAAAAAAGTTCCTAATGTTAACTTTACTAAGAAAACATAAGTTTAATGAAAGGTGTTTCAGATTTTTAAATATTTTAAAACAGTCAAGCCCTGTGGCTGGTATAGGTCAGTGAATTATTTAGTGCAGGCCTGCAAACCAGAGTCTCGGTTTGATTCCCAGTCAGGGCACATGCCTGGGTTGCAGGCTGGTTCCCAGCAGGGGGCACATGAGAGGCAACCATACATTGATGTTTCTCTCTCTCCTTACCTTCCCCTTTAAAAAGATAAATAAATAAAATCTTTTTAAAAGGCGAAATTTTTAAAAAATAGTCAAAACATGAAAAGCATAAAATGTTGGGTTTGTAGTAGCAGGTTTGTAAGGGTCCTGTGTGAGCTCAGCTTTCCCATGCTGACTTCAGTGGGTGTGGCCCTGTCTGTCCCTGTGCCTGCCCACCTGCCACCACTGCATCTCCCGCCCCCCCTCTGCTGAGGGTGTGGCTGCTTGCAAGTCTGGAGAACAGAGTTCCCTGCCTCCCCTGTCCCCAAAGTCTCTGCCTTTACCATGGTTACAGCTCTGCCTGTGCTCAAGCCTCAGTCATTTGCTGGCCACTGCCACCCATTCAGAAACTCACTGTCTCCCCTCAGATTATTTCTTTTTAAAAGATTTTCCTCAGTCAGTAACCAGCTTTTGACTTCACTCACCATTTCCACATTTTCCCTGACTTGGACCACATCTCTGCTGTTCGTTGCCTTCCCGGTTCTGCAAGCCCTGTTGGTGGGTGCTCGGCTCACTGGTGGGCACGTGGGTCCGACAGGCCTGCCATTTCTTGAAGCAAATAGAATTTGTAGGCAGTTGTTGGTTTCCACTCATGAGCAATACTTTAAACTGTATTTGTAATTCTTTCTAGACTAATCTTCTTGCTCAGCTTCGTTTTGTTTATATAGAGCACATTTCCTTTGTCCCTTTTTCATTTTTTGGTGTAAATTTTGGTATTAAAAAATTAATCTAACTTTCTTGTTTTTCCTTATATGTCAGTTTTTACCCCTTTATTTTCTATTTTTCCTTATACTTCTGATCGCCTCTTATGGATATTATATAATGACTTTCTAAAAGGCTCAGCTCTGGGCATCTCCTTTGCTCTGTTCAGCCAGGTAATGTCACTGTGCTCATGGCTGTTTGGGTCTCTTCCCTCGTTTTCTGTTTCCCATGCTTCCTGGGGGTGCTCTGTCACCCCCACCCTACACACACACACACGACTCATGCTGTGTGCCTGGGGTTCCTTCTGCACCATTGCCCCCCCCCCCCCAGCGGCACTGGAACCTGTCCTGTCTTGCTTGCTCATCTCTGTGCCGTGCCCAGCCATGCACCGTTGGGCAAGGCTTTGTCCACATTTGTGTGTATGTTTGTGCACACACGCGTGTGAGTTGAGGGCTGTTTTTTCCTTAACAGTGTCAGAGAAGAAAAACTCTTAGACCTTGAGTACCTGAGATTTACCTTATTTTACACTCATCCTTAAGTGAAATTATAGCTGAAAAGATATAATTCTGGATTTATTTTTTTAATGTGAGGGTATAACCCAATCTTTCCTTGAATCTAGTATTTCTGTCTTTACTTTGTTTTTTTTAATTTTGTAAAAAGATTTTTTAATTTATTTTTAGAGAGAGGGAGGGAGGAAGGGAAAGAAACATCAGTGTTCTAGAGAAACATTGATCCTTTGCCTCTCTCATGGCCCCCAAATGGGGACCTGGCTTACAACCCAGGCATGTGCCCTGACAGGGAATGGAACCAGCAACCCTTTGGTTCGCAGGATAGCACTCAGTCCACTGAGCCACACCAGCTGGGGCTTATCTTGTTTCTTTGTAGATGTTTTTAGAAATGTCTCTTTGCTCTGATGTTCTTACATATCACTAGGGTAGATTTTCTATACTTTTTCTGTTCTAAGGTCTGTTATTTTTTGTTAAATCTGGGGATTTGTTTCTTCAGACTTTCTTTTCCTATTCTCATCCTTTTCTGTCCCTCTGGAACTTTTTATAGGCTGTACTTCACAGTGGGACAGACCTTCCTTTGGGGGGGCTGGGTGGCTGTCCCACACCCTGTCCAGTCCAGACCCATGCTTACACAGTGAGCACTGGTATCTCTAGTCTGTTCTCCTCATCCCGAGGGTTGGGACACAGAGGTATGGGACCAAATGAGTGCTGCACAGCCCTGGGCCGTGGCACAGCTTCGTCCTAGCTGCCCAAGACCTGAGTGGCTCTGCATCAGGCAATTCTCGTGCTTTCTTTGGGATCCTCTGGGCTTGCTTTCATTTTCACATCTTAACCCCGACTTAACTTCTCACTTGCTCTCTGTCCCTTACCTTCACTGTACCACGTAGCTGTGTACTCCCAGTTAGGGAGTCAGCATGTGCTGTCACACCGAAGGTGCCATTCACCCTGTGCAAGCTGTTCAACAAACTGCTAGCCAGCTGAACACCTGCTCCCCTCACCACAAGCATCCCCAGGTGCAGTCTTGGGGGCCTATGGTCCTCGGTCTTCTTTGGGGCCTCATGAATACTGGTCAGATTCCAAGAATTTGGGAGCTCGTGGCATCTCATGGGGAAATTCAGGTCTGCCTCATCTGTTAATGTGGTGTGTGATGTGTGATGTGTTTCGGGGCAATGCCAGGTGTCCTGTGTGTTTTCCTCTGTCTCTTTTAAAAGTCTTTGGGGGCCAGGACCTGCTATGACACCTGGGCAGACATTTCTGTCTCAGTCCATTCAGCTGTAGTGACAAAACTCAGACTGGGTGGCTCAAAAGTAGCAGACATTTATTGTCTCAGTTCTAGAGGCTGGGGTCCAAGGTCAGGGTGCTGGCACAGTTTCATTTTCGGTGAGGAGCCTCTTTCTGGGTTGCAAACAGCTATCCCACCATATGCTTACATGCAGAGGGGCCAGGACACTGTCAGGGTCTCTTCTAGAAAGGCACTAACCCCAGCGTGAGGCTCCACCTTCATCAGCTATCTCCTCCTAAAGGCCCTGCCTCCTGACACCATCACTTTGGGGATCAGGGTTCAAAATATGGAGACACAGATATTCAGACCCATAAGCAGTGGTGGTTTGGAAATGCACAAGTTTTATGGGTTGTCCAGGGCCAAAGACATTCTTTGCTGCTGTCATTTCCCCTCTCTGGTTTCTGACTGACACATTGTAGGTGGCACATTCTCCTGTTTCACCTCTGAAAGTACTGTGTGTTCATTTATAGGTGTTCCTGTTACTATAGCACATAAGGATTCAGGTTCGTGAAAACCAACGAGTGATTTCCGTGTGATACGCTTTGTGTTTGCAGCAGACTTTACAAATGTTTTACTAAAGAGGAGAAGTACTCCAGAGCTTTTTCAGCAAACTATTAAACAAAATGATGACTTTCATTTTCAACATTCAAGTGTGGAAATGGGCATGCTTTTTTCTGATGATGCCTATGGCAGTTGCTGATCTACAGTGTGTGTGATGTGCAGGGCTCGGGGGGGTTATTGTGGCTTGGCTTGGGGCATGGCGGGCCCGGTGGAGCTCCAGTGCTAGTCAACTTCGTGGTCGGCCCTCAGCATGGCCTTGGCAGCAGTACGAACACCTGCCCTCTGTCCACTCGCATGTAGGCCATGTGTGCTGGCAGCTGGTATCTTTTCTACGGCGGTTGGCCCTGAAAGTTGTATTGTCTGAGTAGATGATTGGGCATCACTGACTGTCACAGAGGTGACATGTAAGTCTCATTTTGTGTTTCCAAGGTCGATGGATGACACTGACCTAACTGCATGTTTAAGGCTAATTTACTGTAATTGCTGACTTCCTAGCATGAAAATTTATTGAGAATGTTGTTAGTAGGGACAGTACTTTGTCATAAGACATAGACAGATTTTTTGTAAACCAGAGTAATTAAGCTTTGAAAGTTGGTAAAATGTAAATAAAGACTTGGGGGTTTAATGTTTTGGAGGAATTTGGACACTCAGGCTTCTGCAGAGGCAAGTATCCTTTCGGATGCTGCCTGGTTTACAGCTTCCCCTTGGACTGCAGCCTCAGCCATTGCCCTGTGAATGGAAATTTGCTTTTGATTCATTTAGGGTTTCACATCTTTCCTCCAAGACCCTACCCTGGCCCTGGGCACGTAGTGAGCGCTTTACTGCCAGCGGCTCATCAGGGCTTGTGTTCCCTCAGACAGAGGTTTTAAGTTACATTTCATTTTCCTTATTGGGGATTATATGAGAAGGTGTAATTCATAGAAAGGTATGTGATATTGTCATTTGGGAATAATACCAAGATGGCTTAATAATACCTTCTTAGGCTTAAATTTTTTTCACTTTAGCCAATTTTTATTTAAAAGTTACAATTTAAAAAATTTATTTATTTTTGCGAAAGTGCTCGAGTTTATTTTCAGTGGGTATTTCACTGCCTTGTGACTGTGTTAGGACATGGGCCTGACATCAAACAGGACACCGGCCCATGCTGGTTCGTGGGCATATGTTCCCTCATCTTGAGGTGACCATGTGACCCGAGTTGTGTCCTGGTTCTATAGGAAGAGGGGAAATGAAGGGCAGATCCATGCTACATGTGGGTGGGTGGGGGCATGAGGTCTGGAAGACTTGGGGACCCTGTACTCCAGGCCCCAACCAGGACTGGGTGCCTGGCCCAGGGAGGCTGGCCACGGTGTTGAGTGGGGCGTGCGCCGTGTGGGTGTCCCTGGTAGTCAGCACAGGGACCCTGACTCAAGCTATGGGGCTCCCCTTCTGTTCTCTTTGCCTCTGTAGCGCTTCAGAGGGAAGTGGAAGCTGCCACCACAGAGCGGCTGGAGACCAAGCAGCAGTGTGAAAAGGACCGCATGGCTCTGCTCGCCCAGGTGAAGCTCCTGGAGGCTGAGCTGGAAGAGCAGGTCTCGCGCCATCGAGCGTGTGCCTTGCAGGCTGAGGAGCTCAGTGCCCTGCGGCAGCAGATGGTGTCCCTGGATAAGCACTTGCGCAGCCAGCGGCAGTTCATGGATGTAAGTGTTCTCTATACGTTCTTTTGGCCTCCCTGGAAGTCATCTTTATAGCCCGGACCTTTGCCAGGTCATTAAATAAGCTTCTGTGACCCAGTGGAGAGGGCTAATGTGCAGTAGATCTTCATGTGACCCTGTCTCTTGGTGGACAGTTCAGATTTTGTCAACATTTGTGATGTGTGATTCTGAGGGAACACCCCCTGGTCTCATGGCCACACTCCTTCCTGTGGTCTGGACAGGAGTTTCCCACAGTCCAAGTTGTAGGTCCTGTGTGCCTGGCACTGCCTTGGCCTGTGCCGTCCGCCCTTTCTGTCTTTTATTCCTTTTGATGTTCCAGAAGCCTCCCCCACATGTCATGGGAAGATCCTCCTCTTCAGTCAGCTCTACGTCATGCATGTAGTGCCCGTACGTGGGATGTATAGTACTGGCAGTGGCCGCGCATGTGAAATGGAAGCCCTGTCTGTAGCGTCAGATCAGGCGTGTCCCCCGTCCATCTCATGCCTTTCAGTGGTCGGTCTCCTTTAGAGGGAAGTTGGTATGACTGGGAAGTGACATCACAGTAAGTGACCCACACAGTCTGCCTCTCGTGATAGGAGCAGGCCGTGGAGAGGGAGCACGAGCGGGAGGAGTTCCAGCAGGAGATCCAGAAGCTGGAGGAGCAGCTCCGCCGGGCAGCCCAGCTGCAGTCCCGGAGCACCCGCGACAGTGAAGTAAGTCAGCCTGATGGGCGCCACACTCGTGGGATAGTGGCTCTTTGCACTGTTTTGAAGCCTTATCTGTAAAAATATTTTTGCCTTCCATGTATGTGGCAATGACAGCAGGCACAGCTGGATGAGGAGGTATGTGTTGTCTTTGTCTGTGCCCGTCCACCTGCATGGCTGGGGCGCTCCAGCACACAGGGCGGGGGCGGGAGGGGGGTGTGGTGCACCCGCTCCTGCGTCCTGCTTCTTTTTCTCGCTTCCTTCTGCTCGGGCTGGACCTGTCTCCTCCTGTCCAAGGTAGCTGTAGTCAATTTGCTAATTCTTTTTTAAAATTAAGCTTATTTCAAGATAACTGTTGTTTCGGTAGCAGTTTGAGGAATAAGACAGACAGAGTTCCTGCATATCCTTCTCCCAGTTTCCCCAGTAGCGATATCCTGCAGAAGCCAGCCCAAGGTCACAGCCAGGACATTGACATGCAGACAGAGCCCCATGGGGCCCTCAGCCCCATCCTCATAGTAGTTTGTTATTTCCTCGTGGTTACACAAATGGATTGCAGTGGGTAGCCTTTGGGGGTTGCTTTCCACTGGCCTGGAGATTCTCTGGAGATTCATCCAGGTTGCTGTGAGTGCTTCATTCTGTTTTTTATTGATAAGTAGCCGTCTATTCCTCACTGCCAAATTTATTTTAAGCCCTGGCTGAGTGGCTCAGTTGGTTGGAGTGTTGTTCCCATACACTAAAAGGTTGTGGGTTTGACTCCTGGTCAGGGCACATACCTGGGTTGTGAGTTGGGTCCCCAGTTAGGGCATGTACGGGAGGCAAACGATTGATGTTTCTGGCTCATTCTGTCTCTCACCCCCACCCTTATCTCTGAAGTCAATAGACATATCCTTAGGTGAGAATGAAAACATTTTAATAACAAAATTCCTATTTTTATTTTTATGTGGGTTTTTTTGAGACAGTACCCTTTTAATTACAGTTTTTATCGTATTCTTTCCCAGGCTTCCTTCTGCAGCCTAGATCTACAAAGCCATGTGGAAGATCAATGTTCTCTAAATTGTCTTGGGTACTTTTTTATTTGGAAGATGGTTGGGTTATTTTTGTTGTTATTGTTTTAACTGTTGTATTGCTCAAGCTTTTTTTTTGTTTGTCTTAGGTTGAATTGTTACAGGAAAAGTTGAGAGAAAAATCAGATGAACTTAACGAATTGGTTTTGAAGAAAGAATTATCAGATAGACAAGTGCTGATCCAGGAAGAGGAAATTAAGCATCTGGAGGAGACAAATGCCGATACGAGGAGGAAAGTGATTCAGCTCCAGGAAGAACTGGAGAAGCAGAGGAGAGCTGTGAAGGAGCTACAGCAGGTGAACGTCCTTTGTTGTGTAGGGTTCTGTCCAGTCCCCACTGAGCCTCTTGGAGTGGGCCGGGGAACTGCAGTGTGCCCTCCTTTTCACGAGAATGACTGCATTTTACTGAGGACCTCAGACCAACTGCTGACGGAGTTCCCTCTACCCTCCTGGCTTTTATTTGCTCTAAAGGAAAAATGCTTCCTGTGTCTCCTGCATGATCAGTCCTCTGCCACATCACTTCACAGCGGACACTTCTGGTCACCAAGTGGGCGGGAGTTTCTCACATACCAAGCAGGTATTCAGTTCTCAGCAGGTCTCAGTGGGGTGTCCTGGAACTTCATTCTGACACCATCCACCTGCAGTCAGCATCAGATGCCACAGGTTAAGAGCTCAGTCCCACAGACTGCCCCTTGTGACATCGGATGCCCCCCAGAAGTTCCAGGTGGTATAGATCAGAGGTCTCCAGGGGTCCTCCTCGGGTTCTGTTAATTTGCTACAGTGACTCACCGAACTCAGAAACATGTTACTTAGTAGGTCACCCATTAGTTACACAGGATATAACTCCTGAACAGGTGGAAGGAAGAGATTTGCTGGGTGAGGTGTAGGGGACAGGGCACAGGGCTTCTGTGCCCTGTCCAGGTGCCCAAGTTTCCTTAATATTCATGTGTTCACCAGCCCAGACGCTCGCTGAACCTCTGTTCTTTGGGGTTTTATTGGACATCTGGTCACCTAGGCATGCTTGATTAAATCATTGGTTGTTGGTGACTGATTCATCCTCTAGCCCCTGTCCCCTCCCCAAAGGTCAGGGATGGACTTAAAGGTCCACCCCTCTAATCACGTGGTCGCTTCTCCTGGGCACCAGTCTGATGATCCTTAGGTGACATGGGGGCTCTCCAAAAGTCACCTTGGTAGCATCAACTAAGATGTGGCTGAAAGGGGCTTATTATGAATATCAACAACCTTTATTATTCATACCACTCAGGAATAATTCCAAGGGTTTCAGGAGGTCTGTGCCAGCAATCAGATGAAGAACAATATATATTTATATTATAAATCACAATATCACACATACTATAATAGCATTTTATAACATTTTTATATTATTCCTTAGTAATTTCATAAAGTAAATGTTCAAGATTTTAGGTTTAAAATGTTATTTCATTAAACACTGTACTTAGAGCTAGTTACAGGCATTTTAATTTTTGAGTTTAGTAATTTATATCAACTGCCCGGTGAAACCTTTCATGTTGTTGTGTGAATGCTTTTGTTTTGTGTCTGAATGTCAGGATGAGGCTGCAGGGCTGTGCTGGGGTGGGCGATCTGTATCATTTCTGGTCACTCATCATTTCCTCCAGACCAGCTGAACTTCTCATGCTTCATTTATTTCATGTCACTTGAGGTTAAAAGGTTACATGAAAGGCTGCATAAGAAATAGTTTTTTAGGATTATTGGTTTGGCCCTGAGACAAATCCTGCTCTAGGAGGTAAGTTTTTATCAGATGTGCTTTGTTCTTGAAAATGCCTGTGAGAACTATTGAATGAGTCAAGCTTGGCTCTTACCTGAGGACACCAACCTGGCCTGGTTTTATCTCCTCTCTCTTCCTTTCATCTGCTTGGAAGGAAATGGTGCTTTGTGCTCCCCCGCCTCCCAAGTAAAAATCTACTGCACTTATTAGGTGCCAGGAATATGTGAGATGCCTTTCTCCCTACCCCCCCCCCAAAGTTGGACCAATGTGTTGTGACCATTTTATCCATATTAGATTTTCTTTGAAAACTTTTCAGTGGGCTGTAAATATTTTTCATATGCATATATTGTCAGCCATTGCCCTGAACTTTGAAAGTTTTTTACAATTTTTAAAAAATTGCCAACAGTCTAGAGACTGTTTTTGTGCCTTGTTGAATGATTACTAAGGATCAGTTTCTCCCAGTGGAATCGAGGACCACCTGTGATGCTCTCTCTCCAGGATCCTTCAGGCAGGTCCCTGCTCTGGAGCATTGCTGGGTCTGGGGATCACACGTGGTACTTGCAGGTGTGTGCAGGAAGATCTGGGGACAGCTTATGCTTTAACAGACAGCACTTTGAGGCCCCTGTTTCTTGAAATACTTGCCTACAATAAATCTTCTTTTTTTAAAAATAGGATAAGGAGGCATTACAGCAGCAGCAGATGAGTAATTTGCTTCTGGTGTCCACATTGCAGTCTAAACTAGATGAGGGCAAATGCCCTTTGCCTGCTGCAGACAGCCGCCCTGAGGGCTCTGAAGTCCAATTGGAGGCTGTGCAGAGGGCCCTCCTGCAGCGGGAAAATGAGGTAAGGGGGTGGGGGGGGGGGCCGGGGGTTTTCTTCTGTTCACTGTGATGCACGTGTCCACTACACTGTTGTGTGTAGGAGGGCATCCAAATGCTACGTCACTGGGTTTGTGACTTCTGTGTAGTCTTTGTAATTTTAACATTTTTATGGGGGTTATAGAATAGTAAAAACTGTTTTTGGAGGAGAAGCCAGAGAACTTACATGTATGATACATGGACATGAACTAAGGTGGGGGAATGATGATAGGAGGGGGGTACTGGGAGAAGGGGAAAAAATGGACAATTGTAATAGCATAATCAATAAAATACACTTTAAAAAACTTTTGGCATGTGCTTTTAATCTTTTGGCATGGTTTTAATAATCATTAAATTGATTAGAACATTAGGTAATTTTAAATATCTACCTTCATTTGTTTCAATGAAAGGTTTTAGAACTACAAGAACAATTAGAAAAGATTAAAGATGACTTAATTAGTAAAAATGAAGAAATACTGCATCTGAACTTAAAGTTAGACCTGCAGAACAACCACACTGCTATCAGCGTCAGAGGACTACAGGAGGAGAATGCCAGTTTGAAGGTAAAGGGACAGATTCACCTTGACATCTAAGTTTATGTTGACTGCATAAGTGTTGTGGCCCGATGCGTGAACCATTATTTACAGGGAGTGGGGACCTCAGGCCTTCCTGGGGGGACATGAGGCTTCCTTCTGAAGACAGAGGACCCTGTGCTAGCAGATGATTTCAGGAAGTGCCTGCCTTATGTCTCCACTGAGATCGGCAGCTGGGGCAGCTCAAGAAAGTGTAGTGGAGTCAGCCTCTCAGAATCATGAGTGGAAAAGCTGAGTCGCCTTGACTGGAGTTCACCGGCTTTCACCTTCACACCAGACGTTTGCTTTTCGTTTGCAGCGCCGATGACAGTCAAGTCTTTTGTATTGGAGTAAGATTGCAGGAGAGGCAGCTCCCTGCCTGCCACGGAAACAAATCATAACTTGGGAACATTGGCCCTGCTCTGGCCACTCCCGGGGTGCCCACTCTAGAGGCGGTGATGTTTAGCAAATGTTCACTCGTTATCCTTCCCAGCTCAGTTTGGGAAAAGTCTGCTTTTAAATCAGAATGATTTAAAAAAGAAAAACAACCTTAGAAATGTATTGAGTTTAGAACCATGGCCTGTGATGCCACCCTGGCAGTTGTTCAGTCAGTGAACTGAGGGCACTGCAAGAAATTCTAGGGGCTGTGTCATTTGTTCCCGATTCTCTCAAAGGTTGTACCTGCGCTATTTGGAACACCTTCAGTGAAGGTAGAATTTTAAGCCAATCCTATAATCATTGCTCATTTTCTCCATGGGAATTCATCTTTAATTACTAGATGGTAAGAATATAAGAACAGGCTTTGCTTTGATGGTTACTTTAACAAATTTCCTGGAGAAACACAGAACTGATTTTAGAAAACCAAGCTAATATGTCATTTAAAACTAGTATGGCACTTTAATAGAAAAACACGTTCAGATGGAGTGTTAGTGTTTGAAACTACAAGCTTATTCCGTTAGGATAGTTCATGTCTGCGAGGCTTGGGGACAATTCCTATAGTAATGCTTTGTTGGCTTCATTATTTTTATTACTATTATTATTTCCACAGGCATTTCTGCAAAACAAAGAAAAGGAGATACTGCACATGAGCGAGCAGCTTGAGGCACAACTGGCTGGGATGGGAAGTGGCGCTCTCAGCGAGGTAGGTGGTTCTTTGGTATGAGAGCATCCTGGGCATTATGTTCTTGGTAGGTTGTAGGTGTGATCTCAGATCAACAGAGACCTCAGCAATGACCCTATGTAAAATTGATAATGGCCTTTTCCATTAATTTGGATGGAGGGTATAAGGTTAATAGTGGCTGTTAGGGTAAAAAACAGTTTTTGTCTTCAGGTTTTTCATGTCTGCAAATTTCACAGTGACAGAAGCTGTTGGGATATTAATAATCTATTAGTATCCTATATATTTGCCACAATTCAAGAATATTATTTTGTGTTACTTTGATAAATGTCTGTAAAACCAACAAGTACTTTTAACATTTTTTCAGTTACAGTTGACATATAATACTGTAACAGTTTGAGGTGTGCCACATAGAGATCAGGCATTTATACACCTTATGAAGTGATCTCCTGATAGTGTAAATGCCCACGTGCAACCACACATGGTTATTACATTATTGACTGTATTTCTTGTGCTGCACTTTACATCGCCATGACTGTTCTGTAAACTACCAACTTGTACTTCAGACAATTTGAAATAGCTTTATCTGCAGAGTTTGAATGTCTTATTGTTTATTAAAGGTCTAGAATTTGGCATGGGGCAAAAGGTACGCTAGACCGAGCAGAGGTTAGGAAATTTATTATAAGGCCTTTGTGGTGTCTAACTTAGCTATCTATCTTTCTGTCCAAAATGTTTCTCTATGTACTGCGGACTCTAACTCCTTGGTAATTGTTTCTATGTGTTTAGTTTGTGGTATCTAACAAGCTTCTCCTGTTTCTTTGCCTGCTTAATTCTAATTAATATATATTCCTGTTCAAGGTAAAGGAGGGGCTGTTACTCCAACAACTTTTAGACATTCAGGAGCTATTTCATTAGAGGGGATTTTGTTCTCTGGTCAAGAAATTATTTTGTACAACTTCATTGGAATTATGCTAATTAATGAACCTGAAATACAAGTGTCTAACAATCCCACCACCTTTTGATCACTCAAACAAACATGTAACTTGTTTTTCTTATTTCTGGTACACCAAGGTGGTCCCGATGGCTTTAAGTTGCTCAAACCAGGGTAATTCATACAACTCGACATGTTTTCCCTTATGGTTAACAATTATATTACCCTGGCTGTTGTACTCCCCTGTATAAGGGAGAGGGGAATCTGTAGAGATTTTTCTATCCTTTCAGGCAGTTTCGTGGGGAATACTAATGTTTTCCCCTGAACTGTTCTCTCCTCTTGGGTGATTTTCACAGGAATAAGTAAGTACAGTACAATGTCTATATTCAGTAGCAAGAATAAAATAATTTAAATAAAACACCCAATTGTTAACCCATTTTTGGATGCCACGTTCTCTTCTGGGGAGACGAATTCCTTGAACTCAACTCCTCCATGCCCAGACCTTGTCAGACAACATGGTTGGAAGAGGACATGGCAGGTACCCCTATAATTCGGATATTGTAATGTTTAAAGATGTCCTGGAGGTTCCTAAGCCTCTTATTTTTTTGAATTCTTGTTCCTTCATTCTTTTCTGTTTGGTTGTTTCTTTCTTCCTTCTGGTCCACTCCATTGATCTGAGTCCCAGTTTTCATTCCGTCACTATTGGTTCCTGTGCATTTTCCTTCATTTTACTTAGTGTAGCCTTCATTTTTTCATCTAATTTGCAACCAAAGTCAACCAATTCTGTGAGCCTCCTGATCACCAGTGTTTTGAACTGTGCATCTGATAGGTTGGCTATCTCTTGGTCACTTAAAAGTATTGGCTCTGGGGCTTTGATTTGTTTTTCTGTTTGAACTGTAATTTTTTGGTCCAGTCGCACCTGTTATGTAGTGAAGGGCAGAGCCTTAGGTGTTTACCAGGGAGGAGCCACCCACATTGCTGCGATGTGGTGCTGTATGTGGGGGCGGGGTCAGAGAGGGAACAATGGCACTTGCTTAGCTCTCTCTTGGATTTCAGTCTTTTCTGCCACTTCCCACAAGCAAATTGGGCCCTTCTGGTGCTGGTTCCCTGGTGGGTGGGCTTGTGTACGTTCTAGGACCCTGTGGGTATATCCAGTGAATTCTCCTGTGAGGCCGGGAGTCTCTCCCGGCACCTTTTCAGTCGGTGCATTTAGGCTTTATTTTCTATCGCTGGGGCCCTAGGTTGCTCAGTCTGTCTTGATGCCCATTTTTGCCTGGTTTATCTGTGCTCGAATGTGTGACTGGGGTCAGCCAGCCACCTTGCGTGCCTCACTGGGTCTGCTCATTGCCACCCCGCACCCGGGTCACCAGCCACTGCCTTTCCTGCCGCAACCCCTCTCCTCTGGGCACTGACTCCGCCCCTCTTACCTGTCTGGATGAATGGTTGTTGGACTTCAGTACAGTTCCTTTTTCTGTCTGTTTCAGTTGTGTTTTGTTTCTAAGTCTTCGTTGTGCTTAATTTTGGTTGTGCAGGGAGGCAGTGTTTCCACCTATGCCTCCATCTTGGCTAGAAGTCTCCAACTTTTGTTTTTTAATACAACCTGTTCTTATCTTTACATTTTTCAAAGTTTAAAAAAATTACAATAAAATTCAGTTTGGGGGGTACAGTTCCATGAGTTTTGAAAAACGTTTCTAGTCCTATAATCACATTTGAGATGCAGACCAGCTCCTCACTTAGAAAATCTTGTTCTGCCTTCCCAGGTTTGGCTTGACAACCACTGGTTTGTTGTTCAGCCCCTGGTGTGCCTTTTCCAGACTACTACATCAAGTCATGTATTATGTGTTTGCTGTTCATCCATGTTGTGGCACATATCAGTAATTCGGGGTTTTTAAATTTTGTTTTCTGATAGCTGAGTAGCATTACGTGGATGTCCCAAGGTTTGTTTCTGCAGTCACTCATTTGAGGGGTGCTGGGGTTGTTTCTGGGATTTGGCGTTATAAATTGAGCTGCTGTCTACATTCATGTGCAGGTTTGGGGGTACAAATAGCTAGTACTAAAATTGCTGATTCATAGGTAAATATATGTTTGAAGAATATGTTCGTATATAAACATAACTTTGAAGAAACTGCACGACTGCTTTTGCAGAGTTTAGAGCCATATTAACATAGAGTTCAATCCTTAGTTTTCATTTACTATATATGGTCTTGGGAAGGTACTTAATATCTAAGTTTCAATGGTCTCATCTTTAAAGTAGGAATACTGACATTACTTACCTTAAAATTGTTGAGTATTAGAGTAAATGCACAGCAGTTACTGGTTCAGTAACATTCTTCATTCTGTAAATTCCCTACCCTGATTTTATCACTTTTGTTCTTATTCTGTTGTTAGAATGACACCTGAAATCTAAACTCTTCCTTTAGGAAAATCAAATTAATCAGAGTTCTTTAAATGTTAACTAAACACACATTTATATGGTGGTGAAATATTAGGACGAAGGTATCATTGAGTGAGGGGTGGTTAAGTTAGAGCTTTCCCTGAATTCTGATGGCTGGGGGTTGGGGGTTGGGGGCTGTGGCTGCACCCAGCAGCCTCAATTGGAGTGTCTGAGGCCTGCCTGGCAGCAGCAGAATTTTCCTTTTTACCAGTTTGAGATACTGAAAGTAGTTGGGGTATAGCATTTTGGGGGGGTTTCAAATATGGACTGTCATTGGTGACATTCTCAGTTTGTTTCTACAGCTGTCTTGTATTTCAAGCTGTGAAGCCTCCACTTCTGACAGTGAATTCAGAGCTGTAAGTTGAGAGGGGGTTCTGAAATCAATATGTAGTTTGCTTCTGAAATGTGCTTTTTCCCCAGGTTATGTACAGTAGAAGCTCTGAAGTGGAGGAACTGAAGTCCATTATTGAGACTTTGCAGGAAAACCAGGAGCGGCTGCAGAAGGATAAAGCAGAGGAAATTGAGCAACTGCACGAGGTCATCGAGAAGCTGCAACGGGAGCTGACCTTTGGGGGACCTGCCAAGCCTGAGCTTGGTGACAGCCAAGCCGAGGACCTCCAGAGTGAGCTGGAACTTGGGCTGTGCCGCCTGCAGGCTGAGGGAGCTGAGGCCCAGGCTACGCTGCAGGCCGAGCTCCAGGCTGCGCTTGTGGCCAAGGAGGACTTGAGCCAGCTGCTGGCTGAGCAGGAGCACCAGCATGGCCAGGCGCTGGAGGCCCTGCAGCAGCGCCTGCGGGTTGCAGAGGAGGCTGCTGCAAGGCAGCTATCCCAGCTGGGGCCCAGCCCATCCCTACAGGAGTCTGAAGTCCAGGGCTCCGCCTCCCAGATTCAGGAGTTTGAGGCTGCTCTCAAAGCAAAGGATGTAGAGATTGCCCAGAAAGATCTGGAAATTGAGGCTATGAACAGAAAGCAGTCAGCCCACTCCACCGAACTAAAGGCCATCCTGTTGGCCTTTGCCCGCCTCTGCCGCACCCTGGAACAGCAGCCCCTGGGTGCCACATGTGAGCCCCCTGAGCTCCAGCGGCTCCGTGTGCAGTGTGTTCGCCTCAGCCGCCAGCTGCAGGCACTGAACCAGCAGTTTCTGAAGTGCCAGAAGGAGCTGGACAAACAGCAGGCATACCGGGACCCCGTGCTCCATCATGTGAAGGACAGTTTCCAGACATGTATAGCCAGGGGTGACAAGGCCTCATGTGATGAAGAGCTGGAACAGAATGTGAGCAGCAGACAGCAAACTGAGGCCTCCTGTGGCCAAAGCAGTGATCCACAGGTGGGCCTGGTTCCTCTGTAGTCCCACAGGTGCAGCCTGTGTGCAGAGAGCTGTGGTGTGCTGCGGGGGCTGGGGTGTACTTGGCTCCTGTAGAAGGCCCTGACCCAGGCAGCTGGTGGCCAAGCACTGGGGCTGGACCAGACAGCTGGAGGTTCTGTTAAGGAAACTGAATTCTTTGTCTTACTCTCCTACTCTGTTTCTATTTTAATTAACAACTGTTTTCTCTACTTCTGGACAATTGGACATGAAATTTCCAATGGGCGGCTCTTATCAGGGAGGGGGGGTGAATCTGCAGCTCATGCTGGCCTGGGTCCTTGGCCCGTTAGGGTCCATAGAACCTCAAGTCAGAACATATGTACACAGTGAGATTAGGCCAGGCTTTGTTCTTTGTACAATTTTAAATTTAATTGTTCTAGGTCAGAGGTGTCAAACTCATTTTCACCAGGGGTCACATCAGCCTCATGGTTGCCTTCAAAGGGCTGAATGTAATTTCAACTCCTTAACAGTTAAGGAGTAGTTACATTTATACAGTCCTAAAATTATTTTGGCCCTTTGAAGGCAACCTCTAGGCTAATGTGGCCCCCAGTGAAAATGAGTTTGACACCCCTGTCTAAGTAATTTAAGATTTTTAAAACACTTCTTTTTCTGATAGAGAACATCCCATGATGTGGAGCTCAACCTTGCATTAGATGTCTAATCAAATGGTGTATCTTTTATCAACATTTCCAGTGTAAAATGTTTCAATAATCTTTTTCTTTTTTCAACATGCTTCAGTTTGTATTTGAGTAGAACTCTGAGGATTCACAGCCTGCTGCCCCTCATTAGGGGGAGGTTCTGGGTTGAACAGACACCAATTCTATCACAGCTGCTACCTGTGCCCTCAGCTCTTGGCCGGTAGCACATCTTGACTTGTTTATGAGCAGGCAGCAGGACTGCAGCGTGGCTCTGGTCTCATGCTTAGGGCTTCCAGGACCTGAAGCTACGCCGCAGCGGGCCTTCCTGCATTTCTGCGTGTGTTTAGCATCATCTTTATAACGTTGTTGTTTTTTCATCTTATTGTAGAGTCCAGTGAAGGGTGATCTGCAGTTTGCCAAAGCCCCGGTAACGGTAAACCACTCAGGCCTCCACAAACAAGACAGCATGATGTCAGTGCTCACGGTTTGCCAGAGGCAGCTGGAGTCTGAGCTGTTCCTGCTGAAAAATGAAATGCAGTTGAGTGCTGAGGACCATGGCAAAGCATCAGGGACAATGAAGGTACTTGGCCCCTTTTAGGAGAGAGAGGCAGCGCAGGCATGGAGCCATCCATGGGCAGTCTTCTCTCTGTCATTTTTGCTGCAGTGACACACACAACATAGATTGTAGACTGTGACATGTTCTCCATATCCATCACATTCTCATAGCTGTTCAGATTTGCTTTGAAATTTCCTACGTGTTTCCTTTAAGTACTCTCTAGGAGCTTGATTTCCATTTCTCTAATGAATAAGGATAGTGGGTATCTTTTCTGTGCTTACTGGCCCTGTGTAGATCTTCTTTGGAGAAATGTCCTTTGCTCACTTTAAAATCAAGGGTTTTTGTTGTTGTTGTTGAGTTTGGAGAATTCTCTATATATTTCAGATGTTAATCTCTTTTCCAATGTATGATATGCAGATATTTTCTCCCATTATGTGGGTCCCTGTTTATTCTAGGGATAGAGTCTTTTGATGCACTAATATTTAAAAAGTAATGAAGTTCAGTTTGTCTTTTCTTTTGCTGCCTATGCCTTTGGTGTCATATCTAAGAAATGACTGCCAAATCCAATGCGGTAAAGCTTTTCTCCTATGTTTCTTTCTCAGTTTTATAGTTTTAGTTTGAGCTTTGATCCATTTTGAGTTAATTTTTGTGTGTGGTGTTTCGTAAGGGTACAGCTTTATTCTTTTGCTTGTGGATATCTAGTTTTCCCAGCACCATTGTTGAAGACTATCCTTCCCCCATTGAATGGTCTTGGCAGCCTTGTTGAAAATCACTTCAAAATATATGTGAGGGTTTATTTGTGAGCTGTTTGTTTTGCTCCATTGGTCTATATATCTTATTGCTAGTACCACTGTTTTGATTTCTGTAGCTTTAAGTTTAGAGACCAGGAAGTGTGAGTCCTCCAGCTTTGTTCTTCTTTTTCAGGATAGTTTTGGCTATTCTCTGGTCCTTTAAGTCTCATATGAATTTCAGGATGTGTTTTTCTATTTCTCAAAAAAATATGTTACTGGCATTTTGATCTGTAGGTGACTGAATATTATTGACATCGTAACAATATTAAATCTTTCAGTTCATAAATATGTGCTTTCATTCACTTATGTCTTCCTTAATTTCAGCAATATTTTTAGTTCTTTATTTTATAAGTCTTTTACCCACTTGGTTGATTCTTATTTTCGTTTTCTCTTCTCTTTTTTTTGGCTGTTGCTATTATAAATGGAATTGTTTTTTTAATTTCTTTTTCAGATTGTTGATGTGTATAGATGCAACTGATCTTCATATGTTGACTTTGTATCTTGCAACTACTGAAGTTATTTACTAATATTAGCAGGAATTTTTTTTTGTGTGGAATCTTCAGGGTTTTCTATATGTAAGATCATATCATCCATGAACATAATTTTAGTCCTTTTTTCCAGTTTGGATACATTTTATTTCTTTTTCTTGCCTAATTGCTCTGGCAGGAAGTGGTAAAAGTGAGCATCTTTTCCTCGTTCTTGGAGAAAAAGTTTTTCATCTATCGCTATTAAGTATGATTTCTACTCTGTTTACTATGTATAACTTTTATTATGTTAAGGTTGTTTCTTTCTATTCTTAGGCTGAATGATTTTTATCATGAAAGGGTGTTGAATTTTGTCAAAAACTTTTTGTGCATCAGTTGTGTGACTTTTTCATTCATTTTGTTAATGTGGTATATATGACATTGATTTTCCTGTGTTGAATTACCCTTGCATTCCAGGAATAAATACCACTTACCCATAGTATATAATCCTTTTAATTGCTATTGAGTTCAGTTTTCTAGTATTTTATTGAGGATTTTTACATAAATGTTCATAAGGTATATTCATTTATAGCTTTCATTTCTTGTGCTGTGTTTGGCTTTAGTATCAAGGTAATGCTGGCCTCATAGAATGAATTAAGAGGCATTCTTTCTGCTTCTGTCCTATGAAAGAGACTGTGGCAAATTGGTATAATTTCTTCCCTAAATGTTTGGTAGAATTCACCATTGAAGCCCTCTGAGCCTGCTACTCCCTCCTATTCGGTTTATTGGAAAAGTTTGAAAGGGATTAATATTAGTTCTTTAAATGTTTGATAGCATTTACCAGCGAAGCCATCAGGTCCTGGGCTTTGTTATTTATTTTTTGGAAGATTTTTGAAGGCTGATTCTCTCCTTTTTTTGGTCTCTTATAACCTCTTTTTTTGACTTAAATATATTTTGTCTGTTATTAATATAGCCATCCCTGCTCTTTTTTGTTAATACTTGCCAGAGTATTTTTTTCTATTGTTTCACTTTCAAGTTATTCATGTCTTTGGGTCTGAAATAAACTTCAGAAATAGTTGGTTCATGCATTTTTATTCACTCTGCCAATCTCTCTTTGATTGGAAGACTTTAATTCATTTATATTTAAAGTAATTACTGATAAAGAGGGATGTACTGTTGTTATTTTGCAATTTGTTTTCTATATGTTTTGTAGGATTCTTTGTGGAAAATTTTTTTTTAGTCCTTCATTTTCTTCGGTACTGTCTTCCATGTGTGTAGTTGATTTTTTTATAGTGAAATATGTAAATTCTCTTCTCATTTCTCTTTTTATATATTGTATAGCTATATTCTTTGTGGTTACCATGGAGATTACACTTAGCATCCTAACATTATGATACTCTGATCTGAATTTATACCTTAATTTCAGTAACGTAAAAACTGTTTCTTTATAGCTCCTTCCCCACTCTTTTTGGGTTTTGATGTCACAAAATTATATTTTTATACCTATGTGCCCCAAAACAAACTAATAATTCTTCTAAGTACATTCAACTTGTAAATTATGTAAGAAGTGGGTGGGGTTACAAAGTAAATTTATATTTACACTCTTTTAAACTAATATTTTCCTTAAAATATTTCAATTATGATGAAAACAAAATGTGGAGTTATGAACTATTGTTGCAGTAATATTAGCCTTTATAATTGCCCATGTATTTACCTTTATTGAGATCTTTAGTTCTGTAGGTAGTTTGAGTTACTGGCTAGTGTCCTTTCATTTTACCCCACAGGACTCTCTTGAGTATTTCTTGCAGGTCTGGTGGTAACAAACTCCCTCAACTTTTGTTTACCTGGGAATGTCTTAATTTCTTCCTTATTCCTGAAGTCCAGTTTTGCTAGATATTAAATTCATTGTTGACAGTTTTTCATTTAATTCTTTTAGCACTTTGAATATATTGACCCACTGTCTTCTGGCTTCCAAAGTGTCTGATGAGAAATCTGCAGATAATCTTGGTGAGGATCTCTTATATATGAGATCCCTTTATATGATGAGTCACTTTTGCTTAAAATTCTCTTTTGTCTTTTGAAAGTTTGATTATAATGTGCCTCAGTGTGGACCTCTTTGAGTTCCTCTTACTTGGAGTTTTTTGAGCTTCTTGGATGTTTACATTCATATCTTTCATCAAATTGGGGAAGTTTCCGGTTGTTATGTCTTCAAATACTCTGCTGCCTTCTGTCTGTCCTGGGACCCCCATAGTGAGTACGTTTGTTTACTTGCTGGTGTCCAGCAGGTCCCTGAGGCTCCATTCAGTTTTCTCAGTTTTTTTAAATTTTCCTCAGACTCAATATTTCCCATTGTTCTTTCTTTAAGTTCACCATTTTTTTCTGCCTCTCCAAATTTGCCTTTGAATCTTCTAGTAAATAATTTTTTTAAATTTCAGTTACTGTCATTTTCAGTTCCATAATTTCTTTTTAGGTTTCCTATGTCTTTATTGATGGTTCTATTTTGTTTATACTTTATTTATTTATTTATTTATTTATTTACTTTTCCCACACCTTCTTTTAGTTTTTTGAGCATCTTTGAGACAGTTGTTTCAAAGTCTTTGTTTACTAGATGTGCTATCAGATCTTTCTCAGGGATAGTTTCTGTTCATTTGTTCATTCTGAATGAGCCATTCTTTCCTGATTCCTTGTATGCCTTGTGATTTTGTTGTAGTTGCTGTTGTAGAACACTGGACATTTGGATATGTGTGGCAAATCTGGAAATTGGAAACCTCCCTCTTCCTCAGGGTTTGCTGTTTGTTTGTTTGTTTGTTTGTTTGTTGTAGGCTGTCTCTGTTTGTTCATTTGTCTCTGGGGATCAGCCTGAGGTGACAGTCTAAGCTCTTCTCAGGTCTTCTCCTAGCCTATGCCTTTTCCTGGACACATACAGTCACTTTCTAATTTCCTCTGTATATGTAATAGAGTTTGAATGTTCAAGTTTTTAATTTCTTTCCAAAAAGAAAAAAATAGAGGTAAAAAAAAGGTACTAGTGCTTCAAGTCTTCTGATCTTCACTTCAGCCAGAGGGGCAGGGGCTGCAACCCTGGCCTTCCACCCCTGCAGTCGAGAGTGGCGGTCGGAGCACAGATAGCCAGTGGGTGGAGGGCAGGGTCCTTCTTGCCCACCCTGACTGCCACAGTGTGTGTGCGAACTGCTTCAGGGATAAACATGGTTGCCTGCTTTGTGTTTGGGGTGGGAGGACAGCTGGCTGCTGTTCTAAGAGGACTGATTAACCTACATTGACTGCAGTTTATCACCCAGGCCTTCCCCTGGAAGTTGTAGACCTTCAACAGGCTCTGGAGTCCCAAGATAGTTACATCAGACAATATTTTGCTACTGTAGTTGACGGACGTTCATGTGGGGAGACAGACTCTTAGCACTTTCTGCTGTGCCATCTTCCCAGAATCCTTTCCGACAGTTGCCTTTAGGCACAGAACTTTAAGCTTTGATTCTGTCTTTTGAAAAATTTTAAAAACTTGAAATCTTGAGAAGTCTAGAGGAACCAAAGGGCTCATCTCAGAATCTCATTATTTTCTTTTAACTTAGAACATTTAAAAATATATTTTATTGATTATGCTATTACAGTTGTCCCATTCCCCCCCTTCATTCCCCTCCCTCTTCCACCCACATTCTTCCCATTTAGTTCATGTCCATGTGTTTTAAGTTCTTTAGCTTTTACATTTCCCATGCTATACTTGCCCTCCTGCTGTCTATTTTCTACCTACCAACTATATGGTACTTATTCTCTGTACTTTTTCCCCCTCTCTCCTCCTCCCACTCCCCTGTTGCTAACCCTCCATGTGATCTCCATTTCTGTGGTTGTTCTTGTTCTAGTTCTTTTCTTAGTTTTTGTTTCAGATGTGGTTGTTAATAATCGTGAGTTTGCTGTCATTTTACTGTACGTGTTTTTTCTTTTTCTTTGATAAGTCCCTTTAACATTTCATATAATAAAGGCTTGGTGATGATGAACTCCTTGAACTTGACCTTATTTGAGAAGTGCTTTGTCTGCCCTTCCATTCTAAATGAAAGCTTTGCTGGGTAGAGCAATCTTGGATGTAGGTCTTTGGATTTCATGACTTGGAATACTTCTTGCCAGCTCCTTATTGCCTGTAAGGTCTCTTTTGAGAAATCAGCTGACAGTCTGATGGGAACTCCTTTGTAGGTAACTGTCCCCTTAATCTCTTGCTACTTCTAGAATTCTCTCCTTCATTTTAATCTTGGGTAATGTAATGATGATGTGCCTTGGTGTGTTCCTCCTTGGGTCTACCTTCTTTGGGACTCTCTGAGCTTCCTGGACTTCCTGGAAGTCTATTTCTTTTGCCAGGTTGGGGAAGTTCTTCTTTATTATTTGTTCACGTAAGTTTTCCACTTGTTGGTCTTCCTCTTCCCCTCTGGTACCCCTATAATTCGGATGTTGGAATGTTTAAAGATGTCCTGGAGGTTCCTAAGCCTCTCCTCGTTTTTTTGAATTCTTGTTTTTTCATTCTTTTCTGTTTGGTTGTTTCTTTCTTCCTTCTGGTCCACTCCATTGATTTGAGTCCAAGTTTCTTTCCCATCACTGTTGGTTTCCTGTGATTTGCCTTCATTTTACTTAGTGTAGCCTTCATTTTTTCATCTAATTTGCAACCACATTCAACCAATTCTGAGCCTCCTGATCACCGGTGTTTTGAACTGTGCATCTGATAGGTTGACTATCTGTTGGTCACTTAATTGTATTATTTCTAGAGCTTTGATTTGTTCTTCCTTTTTGGCCATTTATTTTTTTTTGTCTTGTCACTCCTGTTACATATAAGGGGCAGAGCCTTAGATGTTCACCAGGATGGGGCAACCCACATCACTGGGTTGTGATGTTGTATGTGGGGGCGGGGTCAGAGAAGGAACAGTGGCACTTGCTTCATCATCTGTTGGACCTCAGTCTCTTCTTCCACTTCCCCCAGGCAAACTGGGCCCTTCTGGTGCTGATTCCCATGTGGGTGGGCTTGTGTATGTTCCAGGACCCTGTGGGTCTCTCCAGTGAGGCTGGGAATCTCTCCCTACACCTCAACACCCACAAGTGTTTTCAATCGGTGTTTTGAGGCTTTATTTCTTGGTTCTAGGATCCAGGGTTGCACGATCTGTCTTGCTCCCCAGTTATCTGCGTCCAAATGTGGGACTGCTGCCCGGTCAGCCAGCTGCCTTGCGCACGGTGCCCTGCTTCTCAGTTGCCGCCTTGCTGGATCTGCCCATGTCCACCCCACGCCCGGGCTCTGACAGCCACTGCCTGGGCACCCAGGGTCTGCCCGGTGCCGCCTTGTGCACCCTGGGTGCCTTGCGTGCCTGCCCGGTGTCACCTCTTCCTGTGCTGAGACCCCTCTCCCCTCAGCCTCCCGACTCCGGCCCACCTACTGGTCTGGATGAATGTGTCTGTTTCAGCCTCCTTGGCTGTCCAACTTCCATACAGTTCAGTTTTCTGTCAGTTCTGATTGTTATTTTGTTTCTAAATTGTTGTCCTGATTTTGGTTGTGCGAGGAGGCACAGTGTGTCTTTCTACGCCTCCATCTTGGCCAGAAGTTCAGAATCTCATTCTTAAATGCTCAGTCTTGGAAATTGGCTCATAAAACTGTCTCAGACAGACAAATGTTACACTGTGTAGTACAATTTTTTTTACGGTATGCATGTTCTGTCGTACCTATAGGATAAGGTAAAACTACTGGGAGATTGTAAGCTGCAGAAAGTTGATCTCATGACTCAAGTGAAACAGCTTCAAGAAAAACTGAACCGTCTGTTATATTCTATGAACCTCCAGAACATCAAGACAGAGGATTTCAACTCTCAAGAGCCATTGGCATTTTCTCATGTTTTAGAAAACAGTTCAAGTTGTAGTTCTACTAATGGTGAAGAAACTGACCAGTCATGTCCTGTTGATGCAATTAATATCAGCAAAATCCCACAGGATCTAATTGACATTGTTGGAAATCGGGATTCATTGATAAGAAATGAAATACCAAATGTTCCCACGGAAGACAAGGTAGATGGGTCATTTTATTTACAGGTGAGCCTGCCTAGTAGCTCCCGTGACTTAACCTACACCGAGGAGGCTGAGCCCTTGAAGAATAAACTCAGTGTGATGGACCTGTCCTCCTGGAGCTCTCCTGAGGTCGTCAGGAAGGACTCAACACTTGAGCCACTGCCCAGCCTGCCCCTGACCCCCTGCTTGGACACCATGAGCCAGCGCAGCCCAGATACCTCCCTGAGGGAAAGAAGGAGCACCTCGCTGCTCCAGGCTGACCAGTTGGAGCTACTTAGTACCCCCGGTGGATCTGTAGCAGTAAAGGCCACTTGTTGGGCAGAGTCATCATTGGCTGCAGACAAGGCTCCCTCTGTTGACCATCATGTGCATCGTACAGCTGTGGTAGGTTGGCTTCCCAGACGCTGTCCTGGTTCAGTGCCTATAGGGTGCCCAGGGCCCCAGCATGTTCCCATGGGACAGTGTCTGCATGACCCATGGTGTCACAGCAGCAGCCATTGTTGGTTCACCTCCCACAGGCCTGTAGGCTGGGTGTGGGTGAGTACCTCACAGCCCCTGGGCAGCTGTGTGTAGGGACAGTCAGCTTTCTGCAGGACTGACCCTAATCCACTGTAATATGAACACTTAGACCCTTGAGTAAAATTTTAGTTGTATTGCATATTTAACAGGATCCACGTGTAATGCTAATTAATTTCAAGAACGGTTCAGTTTATTATTTTAGTTAGATTATGTCTTTCCTAACATGATTTTGATATTTTGTTTATCTTGAGGTAGAGAAAGAAAAAAGTAAATTAGAGGATGTTTTATTTGAAGTATTCATATTATACCATTTCTTGCAAAAATATTATAATCTGGACTATTTGCTATTGACTTCTTTAAAATATTTCTAGAGAACTGTGGATGAATTTGATTAAATTATTTAAAGACTATGACCTTAATATTAATGTCCATAAACTATGAACACTTTTGTTTGGTTTCTTTGTGGGAAGATGCATTCAGGTCTTAGAAAGTTTCCTTCTGGCAAGTTCAGTTCTGGCAGTGATATAATTGTTATTTTATAACCATTTAAAATTCTACCCATTTGAGTAGGAGAAAGATGTGGAGGATTTCATCATAACATCTCTTGATTCTCGAGAAAAGTCAAGATTACCTCCTCTTGGATTAGAAGGAAAAGGCAATGGAAGTGAAAACAGTAAGTTTGTCATCTTTCTAAAAACTATCTTTATAGTTTCAGAGAGCACAGGAATTCCTGCATGTCCTTCACAGACTCCCTCGCGCTAGCGTTTACCTTGTCTCCTATGTGTGCTGCCTGTCTCTGTTTGTCTTTATTTCTCTCCGTATTATGGGTGAACATTTCTTGGCCTGTTTGAGAACCTGGGCTACTCAGCAGGGAAGCCTGAATAGCTCTCTGGAAGCTCAGTGCCTAAGAGCCCCCTGAAGTTCTCCCTGCCCTGAGCTCGGTGCTAGTGGGAAGGAGCAGCTAGGAGATCCGAGGCCACTTCTCTATTGGGCGCCCCCTGTATTTCCACAGCACATGCTTCCAGCCACCCTGGACTGCAGGGCTTAGGAGTAGGTCAGGGACCTACACTCTTCTGATAGGTTTGGAATTCTGGTTTAAGGTCCCCCTCCCATTAGAGGTTCCTAGAGCCTTTAATTCTAGACCTGGTTCAGGGTTCCCCAGTCCTGCTGTCTGGTTTTAGGGCTGTTCTACCCGTTCTCCACCCCGCCCTGGCCAGGCATGTTCACCTTTATCTGACCAGACATCTGCTGCTTGTCCTGTGCTCTCACCCTGTCCTTGCTGTTAGTGTCTTTCGCTTCCTGTCCTCCCACCCTCTCTGTGTCCTTGAGGGCTGAGTTCTCACCCCGTCTGTACCCCTCCTTGGTTGGGTCTGTGTGTGTCTTTTGGCTGTAGCACTTGTTCTACAGAGTCTTGCAGGTTTGTTCTGTCTTTTGGAGATGAGGAAAATACATCCATATCTGTGTAAAAATAACTGAAATATCTGAAATAAATGACTGAAGGTTTATGTTAAAATCATGAATATTAACATTTTAAACATGCAAAATATACTTTTTCTTAATGCATATAGTTCTCATCTTATGTTTTTATAAAAATATTTTTACCGTATTTGTGGTTTGTTGATCTTTTTTTCAGGGAGAGGATTGCAGCCATAGCTCTCTGGGTTTTGTGGGGCCCAGCCTCACAGGCTGGTGGGGGGTGCGAAACCCTTCTGCACTCTGCAGAGCAGCCATAGGAGTGCCCCTCAGAGAACCACAATTTTAGACCCTGACTGGTGGTGTGTTTTTAGGTAATGGCTCTGGCTGTGGAGAGATACTAAACCCAGGTTCAAAAGGACTCGAAGCCCCCAGTGCTGGTCCTGCAATGCTGCCCCCTGCCTCAGGAAGCTCCCAGCAGCCACTGGAAGCCATGAAGGAGAAGGAAGTCCACCCAAAGCAGGTTAAGGTAATGGGCAGTGGGAGCAGGGCAAGGGGCAGTGGTGGGCCCATCTCTGGCCCCCTCTGTAACTGCACCATGGGCTCTGAGCATCACATGAGGGTCACACTCTGCTTAGACAGCTCAGCTTCAGCTTTGTCCTGCTTTTATGCTTCACGTAAGTGAGGAGCGTGCAGTTTCTGACACCAGCTTCTCCATGAGGACGGCTCTAGGAAGCCCCGTTCCTCCTCAGCCTCTTTGGGCAGGACACAGATGGCCACTGTGCACGTCCCAGTTTCCCATTGCTCTATAGTAGAGGACTGGCTGCTGTGCTCACAGACCCTGCAGGCAGGGACTCAGGGCATGTTGGGGACTGTTTCTCTGCACCCCATGTCTTGGGGCACTGGAGGGCCAAAGTGGTCAGTAGCTGGCCTGGTGCCATCTGCAGGCACCTTGTCCCCTTGAGGCATCACCCATCACTTGGGACATGTGTACACACTTCCCATGAGGCTTCCTTGTAGAGTGGCAGCTGCAGTCCTAGGAGAGCCAGGAAAGTGCGCGGGGTCTCCATGACCTGTCCATGGAAGTTGGCCTGAGGCCCTACCCTGAACTTCTCTTAGGCTTAGGGGAGGGACGATGTCCATTGTGCAGGAACAGGTGGCATAGCTAAATCATGGGGGTCGTCTCTTGAGTGGCTTATACAGAAATTCACTTTTCAAAAGCAGTTTCCTGCTGTCTCAGACAGTTACAGGGGATGAAGGCTTGAAAACCTCATAGAGCAGCAGGCCCTGCTCTTTGGTACAGAGGCCATGCAAGTGCCCTGCAGTCAGCCCCAGTGAACGTTCACAGCGAGGGCAGGACAGTGAATAGATGAGGGCTTTTTGGCTGCCTTTCCTTCTTTCTGAAATGCTTGTCCTATTGTAGGCTTTGCTGCAGATGGTGTATGACGAGAGCCACCACATCCTGGCCCTGTCCGAATACCATGGATACCCCAGTGCGCTGAGCAGGGGCGAGCCAAGCGCCCCCATCAAGCACTTCCTGAGGGGGGGCCAGGGCCTATTGGAGACAGTGCCAGCTCTGAGGGGGCACATGACCTCAACACCCCAACAGGGAGAGAAGGTACAGAGGTGTTTATGTAAGAGAAGAAAAGCAGTGGGCTTAGACCAATTTGAGGGAATTGTTTTGCTAAATAAGCTGGAATAGGGAACAAGTGGTGGTCAGTAGCAGCAGGAAGCCCGTGCTCTTGTTCAGCTACCCTCTTACTCGCATTCCTGGGCACCAGCCACATGCTTGCCTGTTCTAAGCCCTGTAGGGCAGCAGAGGCCTTCCAAAGGGGGGTCTGGGGGCCGGGCCTGATCCCACAGAGTCTAGTCTGTCTGTAGTCAAGCAGCCAGGGTGGCCAGGAGAGGGGGCAGTGCAGAGGTGAGGGCTCAGTGTGAACCATGTCCAAAGGGAGCCAACCTGCCATGGGCTTTGGAGGGAGCAGTGGGCAGGACCCCAGGCTGGACCTGCAGGAGAGAGGGACCTGCAGGTGGCCTGAGGGTGCTATGCCCACACCCTGTACAGTCGTGTGCACTGGCACACTCACACACACCCAACGACACTTCTGGCCTTGGGCCTACCCCAGACCCAAGGCGTTGAGTTGGAGAAAGAGGTTTGCCTGCCAACTTTGCTTGACCTTGTTTCACCATCTTCTACAGTGGTTTCTTCTCTGTTCGGATGGCAGCATCAGCCTTTTGTGCCCTGGATGGCCCTGGGTGCTCATGTGTCTCCTCTCCTGTCAGGGTGGCTCTTCTTCTAACCTGCAGTTGCATCTGTGTAAACACCAAGCTTCTTGTTCCAGTTTCAGGAACCTTCTGATACCTGCCTCGACTGGAGAGGAGAATTCCTGCAGGTCGTCCAGGAGGCATTTGAAAAGGAGCGGGAGATGCTGGCGACGGAGCTGCAGCCACAACTCTGTGGCTCTGGCCCCAGGGCCCACGGCGCCCTGGTGGAGAGGCTGCAGAAGGTGGTCCAGGAGCAGGTGAGCTTGGGCCTGGGTAACCTCAGTGCTTACCCCTGTCTCACCCGACATGGGAGAATACCAGTGACTGAGGGGAAACCCTGTTTCAGACCAAGTATAACACTGCATGTTTCTGCATGAATGCTACAGCGTGGAAGGAAAGTCATGTGCCCCTACCTTCTTTGATATCTTTTGCTGTTCTAGAAATAATTGGCCTTCCCTTGAAAGCAAAAGCATTGCTAGGCTGCCTGGCCCCAGGTTGTGAGCACTGAGCCCAGGGTTGGAGGCTGGGGGTTGTTGGCCCTGTGGAGGCCTTGGGAGTTGGTTTGCCACCAGTTCCCTTGGGTTGTGTCCCAGTAGAACAGGACACAAGTCCAGACATAGGGTGCGCAGCAGGTCATAGCAGTCCCTGGGCACAGACCAGGCCCAGAGACCGAGACCAAGGTACTAGGGGTAGAGGGTCACCCACATCCTTGGCAAATACATTCAGAGTCAGCATCTTATACCAGCAACACTGGAGGCTTGAATGTGCAGAGGGTGGACTGATCCTGCTGGAAGCCACCAGCACTTGGATGCTCCCTTCTGATCCTATTTCCCCATGTAGGTGGGCTCCTCTACCCTGCAGATTTTTCCTGTCTGACTACTGTCCCTCCTTTGCCCGGTTCCAGGGGGACCTGCAGGAGAAGTCCTTGGAGCACCTTCGTCAGTCTGACAGGAGCAGCTTGCTGTCCGAGATCCAGGCCCTGCGAGCTCAACTGCGACTGACACACTTGCAAAACCAGGAGAAGCTGCAGCAGCTGTGTGCAGCGCTGACCACTGCGGAGGCCCGTGGGAGCCAGCAAGAGCACCAGCTGCGCAGGCAGGGTAGGTGCAGCCCCTTGAGTCCGGCCCTGAGAAACATGCCCACCTGAGGTTCACCTGGTGGGTAAGGTGGCACAAAGATTAGCAAAGCTCCTCTGGACTGTTCAGAGCGGGACTTGATGGGAGCAGTGACATCCTGGTTTCTTCAGGTCCCTGAGCGCAGGGACTGGCAGCGTCATAATCAGAACACTGTGGCTATGGTATTTCTCGGTTCATAAGAACTCTGAGTAAAAACAACTCAGAGCACCTGTAGGCAGTGAGGGACCCGGTGTCTGAGTAGGTGTGCTGGGCACCAGCAGGAGCACATCTGGGAGAGTCCCTAGAGTTTGACCTGAGCTTAAATTGCTGTTGTAGTTTGTACATTTAGAGTCTTTGGGGTTTTTTTGTGTTTTGTTTTAATATAGACGCTCAGCCCTGGCTGGTGTAGCTCAGTGGATTGAGCGTGGGCCTGTGAACCAAAGGATCACGGTTTGATTCCCAGTCAGGGCACATGCCTTGATTGCAGGCCAGTTCCCAGCAGGGGACCCACAACAGGCAACCATACATTGATATTTCTCGCCTTCTCTTCTTCCCTTCCCCTCTAAAGATAAATAAATTTTTTAAAAATATTAAAAAAATAAAACCCAACCAAAAAAACCATTGCTTTAATATAGGCACTCAAATCACCTGTGAATAAAAAAAAACATTTTATTTTTCCCATCTGCCCCCTTCTCTTGCTGACCATCAGTCAGGCCCTTGAGCAGGCCATGAAGGGAGTGCCTAGCGCTGTTTCTGGCTGCAGGGGAAGCACTCCAGTCTTACCCTTCAAGAGGACATTAACTCTGGTCCTCACAGATGCCCCATGTCAGCTCTGGCAAGTCCCTTCTCTTCCTAGGATTGGGAGCTTGATGATGGCCAGCCAAGTCTGTCTAGGGGAGCAGCCTTACATTATGGTTGTGACTTCTCGTCATTATGCATTATCCTTTGTACATTTCTGGACTGGTTTTGCTAATATTTTACATCTGCATTCATGAGGGATACTAGGCTGTAGTCTGGTTTTGGTATTGGAGTGATGCCAGCTTCATGGAGGATTGTCATATGTCTGCTCCCCTTTCTGTTCTCCAGAGGAGTTTTTATAGAACTGGGTTTATGCCTTCCTTAAGTTTGGAGAGAATTGTCCAGGGAGGCCATCTGGGCTGTAATCTCTCTGTTGGGAGGCATTTAGCGGTAGTAGTGGCAAGTGAGATGGCATGTTAGAATGACTGCAGGGGTGGTCACACTAGCTTTTCTGCATCAGGCAGTATGGGCTCTGAGCGGCCTCCCATATGAGGTCCATTTCACCTTAGCTCTAAACTCCACCTCCAGGGAGACCCCAAATCTGAATTGCTGCAGGGGCCAAGAGGGCATGTGGCCCACCCTGAGGAGCCACACTGTGTTCATGTGGCCTGCATGGCCCATGTGAGTCATGCACGCTCTCTGCCCAAGAGTCTGTGGGTGCCCCCAGTCCATAGGGCAAGCCCTGATGCCAGACGTGATGGAGGAACCAGCAACAGGCAGCAGGAATGTGTCCTCAACTGTCCTGGCTCTATCAGAAGCAGTGGTTTTTAAATTACAGAAACTCCATTCTCCCCTCCCCTTACTGGGTTATCTGTAATTAAATCATCTGTACAACTCCTGAGTAATGCTATTTTGTGTTCTTTAACCCTTTTCTTAGTTGAGTTACTGGCATATAAGGTTGAGCAGGAAAAATGTATAGCGAGTGATCTACAAAAAACCCTCAGTGAAGAGCAGGAGAAAGCAAATAATGTCCGAAAGCTGCTGGTGGTGGAGCAGAACAAGGTCAAAGCTTTGAAATCTGAGCTATGTGAGTGTAAACAGGACAACGAAAGGTTGCTTAAGTCCCTCGACGACGTGCAGAAGGAGGTTCTCCAACTGAGGTATGGCACTGCCTTTGTAATTCACAGCTCACTAGCCCCCAGGCTGTCACCAGACCTTTTGTTGAAGAATAAATGGAAGTTAGGTAGTTCTCACCACATCTTTCTTAGCAGTGAAGTAACGGAGCCTTTGGTGCCATGACTTGCACGGTGTGCTCAGTATGTGTTGGACAAAGGCACCGTCCTCCCATGGGTTTAGAACAGGAAGGTGGGACTGAGTGCATGTGCAGATAACAAGGAAGCAACAGGGCGTACCTGCCTCATCCTGGAAGTCCCTGGCCCCTGAGGACTGGCCCATATCCTTTGGAGCATTGTGTAACGTCAGGCGTGATGGCCTCTTTCCTCGCACAGGTCCATACTGGACAGCAAGGAGAAGGACCTGAAGGCCACACTTCAGGAGCTAGAGAATGAGCGTGAGAAGGAGCATGCCCTGCAGAGCCGGCTGGAGCAGGAGCAGCTACAGCATCTGCAGAAGGAGGGCCAGAACTCCAAGGCCTTGGAGGTGAGGGAACCAGCGCTGGCCTAGTCACCACACTAACCAGAGATGGGAGCTGGGAGGCTGTTCCCTTTGATGCTACCTTTATTCTTGTTGGGTACAGTGAGCCCTGGTGACAGGGTTTTGAGACAATGAGATAGGGATGTGTCTTTGGGTAAAACACTCAGGAGCTTTGAAGTGACAGCGTGATGACCTTGATGCCGGCACTGTGCCACTCATGTACCGACTCTGAGAGCTTGCTTCTGCAGGGTAGACGCAGCTTCCTCGTTTGACTGGTCTTCGCATGAGGCACAGACTCAGATCAGTGGCAGCCAGATAATGTCAGTGACCCAGCTCCTGTGCATGACACGTGATGTGTGTGAGCCAGCGTTTTGTTTGGCAGCTTGATGACTGCATTTCCAACAGGTGTTCTGTAGTTCTGGGCAAGCTGACCATCAGTTCCCCTGCTAGAGTGAAGCTGTCTTTCAGTAACACAGATCATGGTTCAGTGCAAATGCATCTGTGTCTTCTAGTGTCCTGGGTGTTGTAGTTCTAAGGAGGGGAGGATGAACCCAGGACATGTGTGTGCATTTGCTCAAAAAGGGAACAAAAATTGTTACACATTTGACCCCTGAAAAACATGGGTTTAATTGCATGGGTCCACTTATATGTGGATTCTGGCAGTTGACCAGTCATTTGACTGGGGCACTTCAGTCCTGCGTTGTTCCAGGGATCATCTTCGCTGTTGGGAATCAGCACATGCAGAGGGCCGACTGTAGTTACACGCAGATTTCTGACTTGAAGAGAGGTCAACACCACTAACACCCACATGGTTGAAGGGTCAGCTGCACATACTTTTTCATCCACAGGGTAAATGTGTAATTGCTGGTCAAGGATGGAAACAGAAACTTAGACAAGAAAACTGTTTAGATACTTTTCTCCTTATTTAATTTTCCTCTTATATTTCCTGTCTAGGAATTAAGAATATCTTTGGAGAAGCAATATGCTGAGAATAATCAGCTCTGTGTAGCTTTAAAACATGAGCAAACGGCGAAGGACAACCTTCAGAAGGAACTGCAGATTGAGTCCTCGCGCTGTGAGGCGCTATTGGCCCAGGAACGGAGCCGGGTCTCCAAGCTACACCGGAACCTGGAGACTGTGCAAGGCCGCTCACTTGAGCTGTCCGAGGCCTTGCAGCATGAGCGAGTTCTGACAGAGCAGCTGAGCCGTAGGGCGCAGGAGGCCTGTGCTCACCAGGAGACACAGGCGCACCGTGCTCTGCTGCGGAAGCTGAAGGATGAGACCACCCGAGTGGCAGAGCTTCAGGCGGCACTAGAAAAAGTGCAGCAGCACGCTGTGCACACCCAGCAGCAGCTGGAGGCTGAGGTGCAGAAGCGCTGTGCAGAGCTCGAGAGAGAGAAGGAGGTGAGTGCCAGGCAGAGGTCCACTGTGCAGGCCCTGCGGACCCCCAAGCCAAAGCTGAGCTGTGATGAGGACAGGGAGAGGGAGAAGCCCACATGGCTGCAGGCAGAATTAGAGCAGTTACACTCGAGGCTGGCAGAACAAGGATTCAAGGACACGAGGAGAAGAGTGGAGACCAGGCAGAGCCGGGCACACACGGACAAGTGGAAGAAGTGGCAGAGAGACAAGGAGAAACTGGTGAGAGCCGCCCTTGGCTGATGTCAGTACTTAGCAGTCAAGCTGATAGGGTTAGGGCGGCCCATAGGATGGGGGGGTGTTATTCTGGTCCCTTTTGTTCAGCTGGCCTATACAGTCCTATTTTGGAAGCAGTGACTACTGCAGCTCTGTGACAAGGTTGAAAGTCAGGAAGTGCATATCCCTTTACTTCATACTCTTTCGTGGTTGGTTGTATATGATGGGCCCTGGCAGTTCCCCATGCATTGGACAATTGGCAGTTTTGTTTCTGTAAAAAAAAATGCCATTGAGATTTCAACAGGCAGTGTATGGACTTTTGACTCTGTAGCTTACTCTGAGGAGTATTGTCACCTATGTTCAGTCTTCCCACTCGTGAAATTGGAAGGTCTCTCCGTTTATGTGGGTCTTTAACTTCTGTCAACAGTGTTTTGTAACTTTTAGTGATAAGCTTTGCAGTAGTGTTAAATTTCTGAGTATGTTATTTTTGTTGCTGCTATAAATAGAATTATTTCCTTAGTTTTACTTTAGGCTGTGCCTTGCTGGTGTGTAGCGGTCCAGTTGACTTCCGTATGTTGATCTTTGCACCCCTCAGCCTAGCTGCACTTGTTTGTTTGTGGCAGTAGCTTTAATGGCTTCTTTGGGATTTTCCATATACAAAATCATGTCGTCTGCACATGGGCAGTTTTACTTCCTCCTTTTCTATTTGGTGTCTTTATTTTCTCTTCCTACCTGACTGTCCTGGCCAGAGCCTACAGTGCAGCATTGATGGCAGTGGTGAGGAGGCACCGTGCCTTATTCCTGATTGTAGGGCAAGCAGTCAGACTTGACCTTTGAGAACAATGGGAGCTGTGGGATTCTTGAGATGTCTTTATCCAAGGAAATTCTCTTCTATTCCTAGTTCTTTCAGTCTTTATTTTTAATCATGAGAGTATTGGATTTGCTTTTTCAGTGTCTTTTGAGGTTTATTGTTTTTTACTTTATTGATTTGGTGTATTACATTGATTTTCATATGTCAAGCCATCCTTGCATTCCTTACGATGAAACCCACTTGATGTTGGTGTATAATTATTCACTATAGTGCTAGATTCAATTTGTTAGTGTTTTGCTAAGGATTGTGCATCTGTGCTCAGTAGGGAAATTGGTATTCAGTTTCCTCGTGGTAACTTTGGTTCTGAAAGGTTTGGATCCTTGTATAGGATGATTCGGATCTTACAGGATGGGTTAGGAGTGTTCCCTTTTAATTTTTTTGATGGGCCTTAATTTTAGGTACATTTTATATCAACTAAAAGCCTTAGTTTCTGAGGAAATTATATCCTGTGTCTAGTCATGGATTGACATTTATTTTGACCCCTTTAAAAATATTTTTTAAACACTTGGAAAAAATACTTTCATAGTTTCTGTTTTTGCAAATTATTAAAAGTTGTTTTAAAATGCACAGTGGAAACTAATGGCCTGGTCTTTTTAGTGGTTAACCTGCCATAAAATAGTTAAGAAATGAATATGTGTTTGTAAGAACAAAACCCTAGGTTTCTAAATGTTGTAAGGATAAATCATATTCCAAATTCTATAAAATTAGTTCTGTAAGTTAATATGAGGGAAGTGACTGACGTTTTTAACAGCTTTACTTAGATACCATTTATACCTTTGAGTTCACCAATTATAAATGGCAGAATTAATGGTTTTTGGTATTTTCAAAGACTTGTGCAACTCCTCACAACAATCAACTTTAAAACATGCTTATGCCCTGGTTGGTGTGACTCAGTGGATTGAGCACTGGCCTGTGAACCAAAGGGTCACCAGTTTGATTCCCAGTTGGGGCATATGCCTGGATTGTGGGCCAGGTCTTCAGTATGGGACAAGTAAGAGGCAACTGATGTTTCTCTCCCTCTCTTTCTCCCTCTCTTCCTCTCTCCAAAAATAAATAAATAAAATCTTTAAAAACAAAAAAACATGCCCATCACTCCAACATGGAAATTTGTTCCCATGAGCAGTCAATTCCCCCTTTCCCTGTCCCAGCCCCTGGCAACCACTAATCTACTTACCGTCTCTGGATTTGCCCCTTCTGGACATTTATCAGCAGAATCATACAGTTAGTGGCCTTTTCTGTGTGGCTTCTTTCATGTTTTCAAGGTTCACCATGTTGTAGTGTGTGTCAGGATGATTAATATTTTTATACTGTGTTAAACACACTTTAAAATAGTTGTAATGTTTTATCATTACAACTATTTTGTCATTACAACTATCATTACAACGTCTTGGAAGCTGGAGTAGCTTGGAGGTGTCACAGTGTGGCCAGGAGGCACCCCAGTTGTTTTTTGAAGACAAGTCGGATTAAGCCCCTGGGTGGTCCTTGGTGAATTTCGATTTTTTTTTTTTTTTTCAAAACTGTGGTAACATGATTGCTTGAAAGGCGTAATTACAAAGAAGTGTAACTATTCTTTGTGATGCACTGGAAGGGCGAGCCTGTAAACCCCGCGGCCTTGGCCTGCGGTCCATGCCGTTCAGGGGCTGTGCAGCTGGAGGCCCCTCTGGGTTCTGTCCCAGCCTGGCAGAGCCTTGTCTGCGCATCTACCCTTGGACTTTTCTTCTCCATGAGGAGGCCCCGTGCTCTTCTTTTCTTACCACACTGCCTCTGCTTGCCCTGCTTCCCACCTGTTGGGTTAGCTCTTCTCCCAGTGGAGACTCAGGTCCTGCATGCTGGGCAGGGAGAGCATCCTTGCTGGCTGACTTTTCCTGGCACTCTTTTGGTGGAGAGCATTATACCAGTGGGAGGTTTCTATCTCATGAGGCCCCATGGCACCCCCAGCTTCATGGTGTGCATAAGCGTGTGTATGTTCTGTGTGTTTGTGCATGTGTGTTCACACTAATGCATTCACATGTACACACACGTGTGTTGATGGTGGGGGACCAGAACTTGGGCCCATGAGGCTCCAACCTGCATATGTCAGTGTCCTGACCTCTCCTCTTTGTGCCCCATGCTTACCGTGGGTCTGGAAGCCTGGCTGTTCTCAGAAATGAGCCCGAAACCTTAGCCCTGAGACTCTCCTGTGGGATTGGGCCGTCTCTGAGGCAGAAGCTGTCCTGACCCCGTGTCACGCGTGGGGCACCTACTGTGGGAGTCCCATTGGGGGTGGTGTGCAGGGTAGGCAGGCCCCCAGATACAACACTGGGGGAGCCCCGTGGTGCAGGGCAAGGCTTCTGGAATGTGTGTGATAGTTTTTTTTGTTCCGTTTTGACAACAGAGAGAATTAGAATTGCAGCGCCAGCGCCATGAGCACAAGGTCAAGCAGCTTCAGCGGAAGATAAGGGAGCTGGAGGCCAGGGAGGTGGCACGCCTGTCCCCAGAGTTGGAACATCTCCAAGAGCAGCAGCAAGGCCTGGAGACAATTCGGCAGCAGCTGCTCTGCACGGCAGGGCTGCTGACCAACTTAGTCAACCAGACTGTAGACAGGTCAGTCATGGAGAACCAGCAAGTTCTGTGTGACCCTGCACCTTTCATGTAAAGAACAATCTGAACTTTGGGCGCATCTGCAGTTTCAGATCTATGTGTTAATGGAACTGACTCCATTCATGTTCTGCATATTTGGCTGAGTTGGGGCAGCACTCTTCCATGTTGTAATATGACAGGAAAAAACCACGTTTCTTTTAGATTGGTTTCCCCCACACCCCTTTGTACTGGTTCACCGTCAAGAGGGTCCAGGCCACCCGCTCAGCGATGCTGGAGTCTGCAGTGTCTGCCTCACCCAAGGCTCTGGGGCTTGCTGTTCACCCGACCAGAATGCGTTTCATGATTAAGGAGCCAAGACTGAGGCGTTTTGTTTAAACAGAACAATTGATACTGACATTTGCCCTTTTCTTTATGCATAGAAACTAAGCAAACACAGTTCTGTCTATAGTTGGGTTTAATTTATAGAGCTGCAAAGATCTGTTTAGGGCCACTTCTAATTGACACAATCCCAGTAGAAAACAGCAGTAGGAGGCAAAAAAGCTGAGGGAGCCCTAGTGGTTAGTGGCCAGAGCTTTCTGAGCTTCACAGACTATTTAGCCCAGGGTTGCACTGCCTCGTGGCTGCCTCCATCACTAGAGGTGCTCCCAGCTGCCACCTCTGCGGCTGGAACACAGCTTAAAGTACTTGACAAGCCTGTTGGTGGTGGCTCACACAAGGTCCTCCCTGAAACCCAGTGCTCACAAGCTCATCCTCAACACAGTGACTGTCATGGCATTGGGTTATGGTCAGTTGGGGTCCATATGAACCTTTAAAATGTTTGTTTAGCTTTGGCTGGTGTAGCTCAGTGGATTGAGCAGAGGGCTGCAAACCAAAAGACCGCAGTTAGATTCCCAGTCAAGGTACATGCCTGGGTTGCAGGCCAGTTCCCAGCAGGGGTTGCATGAGAAGCAACCATACATTGATATTTCTCTCCCTCTCTCCTTTCCTTCCCTTCCCTTCTGAAGATAAATAAATTTAAAAATCTTTAAAAAAGTAAAATTATTAAAAAATAAAATGTTTATTTTTACAGGACAATTAATGATTGGACCTCATCAAATGAGAAAGCAGTGACATCTTTATTGCGGATGTTAGAGGACCTCAAGTCCAAGCTGAGCACATCTAACTTTTCCCAGGTGAGAATCCAGGTCCTTCAGGTGAGAATCCAGGTCCTCCGGGTGAGAGACCACTGGCCCCTGCCTGGCTTCTTTTTTATTGTGACTGGTTGTTCCTCCCTCCCTCATTGCTTCCTTTTCTGTTTGAAAGTTTGCCATCTGGAGGAAGGAGCAAGTGCCTCCTTCCACACCTAGGAGGTGCTAGGCATCCCCTGGGTTTTCTCTGGTGCTTCCGGCCGGCGGTCCATGGCACTGCAGCCCAGCCGGCTCCTTGAGCACTTAAGTTTGAGAGCCTGTGTGATTTGGACCCTCTAAGCTGCCAGGGAAGCACTGCCTTTCCCATCAGCTGTGTCTGATGTTGCTGATATGAATTTCTGATAAATGCTCTCTGATAATTATGAAATCTTGGTGTGTATCTGAAAGCAGTGTGCCTGCTGTCAGCATCTCTGACCTAAACTGATTGTTGAGCACAGTTGGTGGGCGGGTGCAGGGCATCCTTGCCGTCCTGTCTGTTGGACCCATGCCTTCCTCGTGTGCCAGGCCCACTGCAGGCTGGGGGCTCCTCTGATCACGGGAATACGCGCTTGTTTTAAGGGACTCACTCACTGGGCCTCAGGCATGGGTGCACGATGTTCCCTGGTCGCCTTGAGGACACTGTGGTGGAGTTCTCAGCAGTCGGAGAGCGCTGGCGCTGCCGGGTCTGCTTCGTTCGCATGGCCCGGTTTTGTGTCAAGTCTGTTTGATAGAGGATTGGAAAGAGATGGGGCTTGAAAGCATTTTTTGTTTCCTGTCACACAGACGAACAACTCTTCCCGGCCCCACAAGCTTTTTGTGGAACCCAAAAACATTTAAAATAATAATACCTAAAAATAACCAACAATAACACACAAATAGTGTGCATGCCTTTTAACAATATTTTGTACATTTATTTCTGCTTTCTTTTTCTCAGAAAAAAATGGCAGCAGAGGTACAGGTCCAGCTGGTGGACATGTTGCTGAAAGAAAATGATTCTCTTACCAAAGCTCTTGGTGCCATGACCCAGGAGAAGGCAGAGCTGTGCAGGGCCACGTCCCGGCTGGAGAAGACCCTCAAGCACCACCTGTTGAAGGGCTGCTCGCTCGGTGTATGTTATTCACACCCCTGCGGCGCAGGCTGGGGGAAACGTGAGCTGGGCTTCCCTCACGGCCGCTGGCCACGGAGAGTGTCATTTCTGCCTAGTTCGCCAGCCTGGGTTCCTTCCTGCCTAACGGCCAGAGTACCTTACTTAACATTTTAGCAAAGTATCCTCCTTGTTCACAGACATGGACACATGCACACGTGCTGTCACATGTGGCCCTTGTCATAAGATGGTGTTTGACACATGTTCATGGAAGAAATTTTTGACTATAGTAAATAATCTGATGAAATTAGGATTCTACTAGACTTTTAATACCTAATGAAAATAATTTATATTGTAATTTACCTGGTTTATGTAGTCGGGTAGACTTCTTTTGGAATGCCTAATTTTTCTTTTTTATATTTGAGGTGATTTTTGCTTGTGATTTGCTTTACCTTTTTCATAATGGAAAGTTTTTACAGATTATTTTAAATTTATATCTAGTCAAATCTAACCCTTATTGGTGTGATGTCCCTTGAGGGGTTTGTGTGTGTGTGTATTTTAGAGATTTACTTATTTTTAGAGAGGGAGGGAGAAAGAGAGAAAGACATTTATGTGTGAGAGAAACATCAGTTGGTTTGCCTCTCATGTGCCCCCAACCGCCCCCAACCAGGAACTTGGCCCACGACCTAGGCTTGTGCCCAGACTGGGAATCTAACCAGCAGCCTTTCACTTTGCGGGACAACACCCAAGCCACTGAGCCACGCTGGTCGGGGCTCATTGAGTTTTCACATGTCGTAGATGCAGGCTCTGACTACCCTTCCCTGTGGCTTTCTGTCCCTGAATGTCCAGTAAACCACAGCATGTAGCCTTTGATGGCTCTTCACTTCCTTCGTGGTGCAGTCGAGGTCCATCTGGGTGTCGGTTTCATTAGCTTGTTCCTCCCTGCTGCCAAGCTGCACTCGGCATGGATGCGCTTCAGCTGAACTGTTCGCCCGCTGGAGGATGTCTGGGCTTCCAGTTTCCGACTGTTATGAATAGCACTCCTACAGATACTATGTACAGGGTGTGTGTGGACATAAGTTTTATTTCTCTGTGCGAATGCCCACTGGGGGGGTTGCTGCATCTCACGGAAAGTTTGTTTATCTTCCGTGTTAACGAGGCCACAGTGTTATCCAGGGGGGCTAAGTGTGGTGAGTGATGCAGTGACTCTGCGTTTTAGCACTTGGTTCCCTTCCACAGTCTGGTGGGTGTAAGGTGGCATCTGTGTATCTTCTTTGGTTAACGTCTTGGCTGCTTCTTAACTCAGATTGTTTGTTTTCTTGTTATTTTGAGAATTCTTTCTACGTTCTAGGTAAAGCATCTTTGCTAGAACATGATTTGCTAATATTTTTTCATCTGTGATGCCTTCTATGTATAGTATCCTTTGCAAAACAAAATTTTTTTATTTAGATGAAATTCTGTATATTAATTTGTTCTTTCATGGATCATGCCAACAGTTTTATAGTGTGTTTTATAGTATTTTAACTTTTTACTTTGATATTTACAATCCACTTCAAGTTAATTTTTGTTTATGGTCCGAGAGATAGGTGGATTATTTTTGTGCACATTGATATTCAGTTGTTCCGGCACACTTTGTTGAAGTGATGGTTCCTTCTCCTTGAATTGTCTTTGTGTCTATGTCAAAAACCAGTGAACAGCACTTGTGTATATGTGTCTGGACTCTCTTCCGTTCCACTGGTCTGTATGTCTGTCCTGGACCAGCTTGCCTGTAGGTTTGTGTTATTATGTCTTCATATCAGGTAGTGGGTATGCTGCAATTTTTTCTTCTCTTTCAAGTTATTTGGCTATTCTAGTTCTTCTGTCCTTCAATATAAACTTTAGAATCTTGCTGGCTATTTTTATTGGGATTGTTTTAAATCTATAAAATAGCCCAGATGTTCACTAATGGATGAATGGATAAATAATAAATGGTATATCCATAAATGGAATATTATTCAGCAACAAAAAGGGGTAAGGGACTGTGATACACATTGTATAGTACAGGTGAGCCTTGAAAGTGCTTTTATTAGTGTAAGAAGCCAATCACAAAAGACTATTGTATGATTCCATTCATATAAAATGTCTAAAAGAGGCACATCGATTACAATAGAAAACAGATTAGTGGTTGTCGGGGTGGGGGAGGGGAGTAGAGAGTGACTGCTGACAGGCCAGGCCCTTGGGGGTGACGAAAGTATTCTCAGATTAGATAGTATAATGGTTATACAACCCTGTAAGTACACTAAAAATCAGTTGAGTTGTATACTTCAAAAGGGTAATTTTTTTTGTTACATGACTTATAACTCACATTTAACATAAATAACATTTAGGAAAAAATTTTTCCTAGATGCTCATGTATGGAAACGTGATGGATGTACGTAGGTTGATCTGTGCCTTGTAACCTCAGTAGCTTCACTTTAGCCCTATGAGCCTTTTTCTGGGATTTTCTGCAGAATAGGGAGTTTTATTCCTTTTTTCCAATTTGAATACTTTGATGTCTTTTTCTTGCCTGTTGGGCTAGGGCTTCAGGACCAGTGGGCAGGCGCGAGAAAGGAGCACATCCTCCGCTGTGCTGCCTCCGCCGAGGTGGAGCCTCAGCCTCTCCTTGTGGCCGATGCAGGTGCCTTTGAGGACACCCTCCTTGGCTTGAGGAAATCCTCTTCTCCTCCTGGTTTGCTGAGACTTTTTGTCATGAGCAGCTGTTGAAATTGGTTGTACTTCCCTGCATCTGTTGATAGGGATTATGTGGTTTCCTTGTTAAGTCTTTTAATATGGGGGATCATATCAATTTTGAATGCTGACTCTACCTGGTCTCAGGAAAACCCCCCTGCAGGACGTGGTATTCTTTTTTAGACATTGCCTGATTCATTTTGCTAATACTTTGTTGAGCATTTTTGACCTGGGCTCAATGAGGAATATTAATGTGAAGTTTTATAAATTGTCTCTGTCTGGTTTGGGCCTAATAAAATAAATTGGGATGTGTTCCCTCGTCTTCTGTTTTCTGAAAAAGATTATGTAGAGCTGGTATTTCTTTCTTTCTTAAGTCCATGGTAAAATTCAGCAGTGAAACCATCTGGGCCTGGTGCTTCCCTTCTTGGAAAGTTTTAGTGATGGTTTTGATGTTTCCAGTGATGTCGGGTGGAGTGTCCAGTAAAGGTCAGTTAGGTCCAGTTGGTTGATGGGGTTCAAATTTTCTGTGACCCAGCCGAGCTTCTCTCTGCTGTGTGTCACTGATGGGGTGTTGACATCTGACGAGGGTTGTGGATTTGCCAGTTTAGAAACACTGTTAGGTAAAGGTGAAGGGACCGTTGTCCCTGTAGGGTTGGGCCCAGACACTGAGTGGACCCACAACTCCCATCCTCTGGCGGGTGAGTCCGAAGGCCCCACGTGTCAGTTTTGATGAGGCCCTCTGTGTCACCGCGCTGCTCCGTCCACTGCTGTGAAACTTTTCCAGAAAGCGTTCTGAGGTTCACTGTTTAGGACACCTCGTGGGGCCTGTGTGGGCTAGAATGCAGTCACCAGCAGAATATGTCTATCATTTTTGAAAGTTGACAAAGAAACTGGGAAGTGACTGTTCTTGATGAGAGAATCAAAGGTAGACTGAAAGTGAATGTTGGAGTGTTTTCCTTCCTGTCTAAGTGGCTTGTGTTCCTAGAATATTTTTTCCAGGAACAGCCCAGCTGTGTTTTAGAACCAGGAAAACCATCACTCTTCCCTGCCTCGTGGGATTCCCTCTCAGAATAGTCTCCTCCCAGGCCCGCCCTGCTGTCAGCCCTGCCCTGCGGTGGTGGAGTGGCGTGACCAGGCTGCCTTTGCTTCCTCTTTCAAACTGCCGGACAGAGGCCAGTGACTGCGTGGCCCCGGGAGTCCTTCAAGGTCTCTCTGTGCCCCTCCCTGCGGGATTACTCTCCTTCTGTTAGCATTTCCCCTCTCGGAGCTCTGGGGCGCACGTTCCGCAGTGTGGATGGCTGCTGTGTGGGGCCCCTGCAAGGTGTCTGGGTGTGTGGTTTGATGCTGCTAGAGCAAAACTGTGTGTCTGCATCTTTCTTCAGTTAGCATTTCTAGAGCCAGAGAATATGAGGGCTTTTAGTAAGCTTAAAGCTTCGAATTCGGGGTTATTTCAGCGGAAGCCAGCAATTAGAGGAGCAGTTCCAGCTCTGCAAGCTTTTTGCATGTTTTTTTTTTCTGTTTAATAAGAATGTAAGTGTAACGCAGTCACACTTAAGTAAATGGCATGTAATAATCACCTCATAGTGTTAACTGTGGTTGATAATGCCACATAACAACTTGAACACCACTGAAAAGGTACTGGAGGGGGACGCAGGCATGCCCTGCATCCTGGCATGGGGCAGACCCTGCTCCCAGCATTGCGTGGGCCCAGCTCCCCTCTGCCCAAGGCGGGCCTCTCCCTGCGGAGGTCCTGGAAGGACAGCCAGGGAAGGACAGCCAGGGAAGGAATGAGGTGTTTGGAAGTGACCTCTCTCTGGGGTTGGGGGTAGGGAGGGGTCATTTTTCTCCAGATGTCTTTACGTGCGAATAGCGCTATAGACACCCTGTCTTTGGTTGTTGCAGAGGTTGGACAGGTCAGCCGGGAGGCGGGACAGGACGATCCCGCAGAGCTCACCAGGACTTCTAGACCCGACACTGCCCACACCAGCTTCCAGGGAGGAAGCAAACACCAGCAGTGGCAAGGTGAGGCCATGTCTATGGCAACATGAGGGCATCAAGTAGGAGTGCTGCTCTTGGCTTATTTTGAAGACTTTATATCTTTAGAGCATTAGTTTCACAGCAAAGTTGAGGGGAAGGTGCAGAGAGTTCTCACACTGAGCCCCCACCGCACACTGTCAGCGTGCCCACCAGATGGAGCACCCGTTACAGTCTGTGAACCTGCTTTGTTGTCACCGCCCACAGTCCACAGTTACATCAGGCTCTGTCTTGGTGGTGTGCATTCTTTGGGTTTGGACACATGTGTAATGTGTAATGACATGTTCACCATTACAGTATTTACACAGGTTAGTTTCACTGCCTCAAACATCCTCTGCGTTCTGCCTTTTTATCCCCCACCCTCCCAGGGGACACTTTTTTAAAATTCCTGGTTTGTTAACCAGTAAAAGCAGCTCATGGCTGAGAGGTCCTCCTCTGCCATCAAAAGTGTCTGTGCATAGTAGGATCACATGCTGGTTCCAGTGGCCAAGTCATGACAAATAAGGGAAGCGAAAGAGAACTTTCATTTGAAATTGGTCTAGTTTTTGTGTCTGTGAGTAGGGGTGAAGTGTGTGCTGCTTGAGTCATCATGTCATAGCTTCCGCACCCCAAAAAAGTCCTAGACCAGCAATTTACTCACCATCGTTTTGGACAGCAGGTAGTAGGGCATGAGCACCAATCCCTGTGTGCACTCTCAGGGATTCCTGCAACCTTGCCCACCCCACAGTGCCCATGAACCCATGATAAAACTCCCTCCCAGCCCCAGTTAGGTAGGACCCGACTTAGCGGTCAGACTCGTGGCACCTTCACAGGGCAGCTTGGATGCTGCAGAAATGACTGGCCTATGTTTTGTCAAATAAACAAGACTGAACTTCGAACAGCACGTTGTTTGCAGTTATGGGTGTTGTACAGGGCCAGCTCTTGGAACGATTTGCTGAGGAAGTTGTCTGGTTCTTTTTAAAGCAAAATTGTGCAAGTGTGTTTTACAAATTTGTCAGTAAGACATCTTTGTGATTAAGTTTTATGATTTTTTTTAGATGGAAAAGTTGTACCTGCATTATTTGAGAGCAGAGAGCTTTAGAAAAGCTCTGATTTATCAAAAGAAGTATCTTTTGCTATTGATCGGTGGATTCCAGGACTCCGAACAAGAGACGCTTTCCATGATCGCTCATTTGGGAGTGTTTCCTTCCAAGGCAGACAAGAAAGTCACCGCCTCCCGGCCTTTCACCAGGTTCCGGACTGCTGTCAGGGTGGTGATTGCAATCTCCAGGTAATGGAGGCTCCCTGCAGTGGTTGGGGGGGGGGGTAGGCAGGGAGGGGGGAGGGTTGCTCTGGCAGTCTGCAGTTGTATTTCTTTTTAATATGAATGACACTTGAGGCCTTAAAGAACATACAGGTGACAGAAGACACAATTTCATTTTCAGGAAATCATGGTGTACAAAACTGTCACCTTCCAAAAAGAAAAGATGTAAGGGTGCCTTTTTATCCCAAAACAATACCTTGCCCTTTAATGGGTCTCTTGCCAGGATCGCTTCTGACAACAGGCATGTCTAATCAAGTTTAAAATTGCATTTCATTTCTTCAAATTTCAGTTTCCCACATATTAGTCAAATTTGTGTTGCATAAGAGGGGCATGTGTATACATAGGTGATTCACCCAAGGTGGTGGCCATTGATGGCCCAGACACTTTCCAGTCTTTACCTGTGGGAGGAGGCACTGTAGGGTACAGGAGGGTCCCCATCCCCCCTCCACTGTGTCCACCTGCCCAAGCCCTGCCCAGCCCCAGCCAGAGGCATCGCTGCCTCCCCCTGCCACTCTAGGCACAAGGAGTCTTTGGAGCCGGGATGTGACTCCCTGGTGTGATTGGGAATTTTGAACATTTCAAAATTAAGAGTGATGAAATCCATTTTACTTTGTAATGGTAAATTTTGCTAAATTCCTAAAAAATTTGTCCCACTAAGAACTGTGCAGCTGTTTCTGGTCCGTGGCTCCTGCGGAGGTACCCTCTCTGGGCCATACCGTTCTTTGTCTGCGGGATAGACAGCTCTGGTTCCCTGGGCTTTCTCCAGACTGTGCTGCAGAGCAGGTGGAAGTCCCACACCGAGAGTTCTCCTCCAGCCTCAGGCACAGAGCCCCTCACCTCTGAGTTCTGATCACAGCTGTGCTCATGTCCACCCACCCGCCTGCCCATCCTGTACTCTTAGTGGAAATAGTTACCCTGCACTGGGAAGTGAGTTAGATGCTGGATGGAGACAGGTAAACAGACCCAAACTCTCCTCCAGCCTTCCTGTCAGGAGGGAAGGTCATCTCAACACAGCAGCACTTTTAACATGAAATGCCTTGTAGGAGGGCAGGGCTCAGAGAGGCAGCGGTGGCCAGGAAGGCAGCGGTGGCCAGGGAGGCTGCCTTGCAGGGCGTCGGGTGGAGGACCAGAGCCTAGGACGCCCTGCACTGCTGCACTCCCATCACCCCAGCACTCTGCTCACTGGCTTGTGGCTTTGGTAGCGGAAGGGAGCAGGGTGTTGCATACTGATTTTGAACTGGAGTCTGGGAGACCCCACTGGTGATTTTGAGCTGGTGTCTGGGAGTGGGCAGGTTCAATGCAGGATGCAACTAGGAGTGGACAAGGCCAAGTGTGGCTGGGGCTGGGGCAAGGGCAAGGGCCCCCCGGGAGTGAACTGGGGATGGGCTGGGACTGGGAGTGGGCAGGCGAGGTAAGGGCCCTGTCTGTGTGCGGGACCTGCTGCTAGGGCCGGTGGCTGCCAGAACCATTCCAGCTGTTGATCACATCTGCATCTCTACCGCTTTTGTCACTGTTGATTTGCTCTGGTTTTCAATATTTGGTACCTTTTTTTTTGTAGATTACGTTTTTTGGTAAAGAAATGGCAAGAAGTAGATCGGAAAGGAGCTTTGGTGCAAGGCCGAGCACCCCGCACAGGTGGGCCCACAGGGACCCCTCCACCTTGCCCTTGAAAACTTTCTTCTACTTGCTGTATGTAGCATTTCATTAACATCTGGTCGTTTCAGGGCTTGGTGGGGATGGAATGAAGCACAGTAAGAAATGGGAAAATTCAGTCAGTGTAGTCATCAGAGATGAAATGTGTTTGAAGGAAAATGGTTTTATGTTGGGAACAAGCACAAATAAAACCAGTTAATATAGTTCATGAGTAAAAGTGGTTCATAAGAGCACAACGATTGAAAAGTATGGAAGTTACGGATATACCGACTGACAACCTGTTGCTAATAGAAAGGCGGTCCTTACTCTCTGGAGGGAAGCAGAGCTCTGCAGACGGCCCGTCTTCGCCCCGAGAGTGCTGTTGCTTACTCTCTCGGCCACATTGTGTGTCCGAGGGTCTGTGCTGCTGCCCCCCTGGCTGGATGCACACAGGTCGTGAAGCGCCAGCCTTTGGCAAGTCACTGCCCCCCAGGGAGACATTGACACAGTACTTCCTCCCACTCAGCACAAGGATGCGGCTGCCTGGCAGCCTGGAGGGAGGCAGAGATGGGTGCCAGTCAGTCAGCTTTGATTTGTGTGTGTTAATTGTTACTTCTTGAAATCAGAATGCGTGGTCAGGTTTCAGGAAGGTTTTCCCCACTTCAGGGAAAACCTGGTGGTCTCCCGGGTCCTGCTCCTGCCTCTTGAGCCCACCCCTCACTTGGGAAGAGGAGAACCCCCACCCCTGGCTCCTCAGTGCCCTGCCGGCTCCATCAGGCCCTGAGTGCCTCTCCAGGGCCACTGCCCGTATGAGGCCGGAGGGTCGGGGAGTAAGGCGATCAAAACTCAGGTTGCTCACATAGCTTTTTAAAATATAATTTTTATAACTTGGGTACTTTTTAAATGTTTCCAAATTGCCACGTAGACTCTTATAGCTTATGAACTTTAAATTTTGGTAGATGGGCCCTTCTGCTAAAATGCATTTGTCATTTTTCCTAATCTCTTTGTTGCTGAATAATTCTGGAGGAAGGATTCCCAGGGTCACGGCAACAGTCGACTCCACCAGAAACCAGCGAATCCCCCCCGACCCGGGACGTGTCTTCCAGCCAGACCAGGGACTCTGTTCCAAAAGCCTCCCCACGCAGGAGGGAAAGGTGAGATGGGGTGCTTTCCGACTGCTTTTCCACAGCAAAGCTTCAAGGGAACCTGGGCGCTAGCCATCAGCGAAGGCCCAGTTTGTAGAGACAAGTGCCCACGCACGGCGGTGTCTCTGGGCAGATGGGTATGGGTGCCCGGGCCTGTGTGTATGTCTGTGTAGGGGGTTTACGTGTGCATGGGACTCCTCCTACACTCAGACACAGACACACACACACGTGCAAGGCCTAGGTCGGCTTACTCTTTTTTCTCTAGGCTTTGGGTTTACAGTCCCCATAACATATCTTTATACTTCCTACTCAGGTGGCAATTGAGATGTTACATTGACCACGTTAAAGATAAGTTATTTGGGAAAAAACCTTTTCAGTTAAATAAGTAAGACAAATTGCCCCATCCAGTTGTCTTGGTTGGAGCATTGTCCCATACACCAAAAGGTTGGGGGTTTGATCCCCCATCAGGACAAATGTTTAGGTTACAAGTTCAATCCCCATTGAACCACATAGGGGAGGCAACTAATTAATGCTTCTCTCTCTCCCCTCTTTCTTCCTCTGTCTCTAAAATCAATAAAAACACACTGGCACATGAGGATTTAAAAACAAAGATTAGCCCTGGATGGTGTGGCTCAGTGGACTGACTGCCGGCCTTCAAATCAAAGGGTCGGCAGTTCAATTCCCAGTCAGGACACATGCCTGGGTGGTGGGCTGGGTCCGCAGTGGGAGACATGCAAGAGGCAACCACACATGGATGTTTCTCAAAAAGATAAAAAATAAATAAACAAACAAACAAAGATTAGAGTAAAAGGCTTTCCCTAAGGACGTGATGCTTTGAGCAGTGACCAGATGTGCTTATCGCTTGCTGAGGCCTTGCGCTCCAATGGGACAGGCTTTGGCTGTGCCTGTCCTAAGGGCGGGTGGCGGATCTTAACTGCCTTCGTCACAGTACCCTTTCCATGACCACAAGATTCCTCACCCCAGTGTTACTTACGAAGGGTGGGATTTCCATTTTCATTTTTTCAGGTTGGACCATGTAAAAAGCATCCTATTAAAAAACAGTAACCCCATTCAAATGCTGGATGAGGAATTCTAGGTTATGAGTGTTTACTCACCCGTTTCAACCCTGACTTTTCTCGTATTTGGAACATCCCTACAAAGTGTATCGAAAAGTTCAGTCTGTGTCTCTGTGGACATTGCACACACACACATCCACATCGTGTAGGGGTGCCCTCTCTTCTCTCTGGGTGTGCTTTCCCTGCTCCACCATGAGCACGCTTCACTCCCACCAGAGGGAAGCAAGGCATCACTGTGCCGTCAGACCAGCAGGGGATGAAGCGCTCTCATTGGCTTTTGCGCCCCGTGCCCCTCCTCGACAATGGCCTCTCTGCAAGCTGCACTGCATGCAGTGACATACTTGGTGTCACCATCCTGACTGTAGACACAGCGCGTGCATGCATCGGGTACCACTGTGCGTCCACTCTGATCACTTCTGGCCGTGTTCCTCCAGCATGTGTGGTTCCTCAGAGAAATGCGTTTTGAAAATTTGGCTTTAGCTGGGCCCCAGAGCAAGGCAGGGAGCTCACCACCGTGATCCCAGAGGGCCCGGGAGCCCTGGTCTGTTCAGGGAGGACAGGGGTTCTGGAACAGCCGCGGCTCTCCAGGGCCCAGCTCAGTAATATTTAGTGAAGGAATAAATGGTGGCCATGGCCTCTTCTCTGAGGATGACAAGGTAAGACATGTGCCCTCCCTAAAGGGATCTCAAGGAGTGACACAGTGGAGCTCCCTGGTCTCATGGGGAGACCAGGAAGGAGGGCAGCCAACAGACCCCTGTTGACAGTCGGGGCACAAAGGTGTAGGTCTGAGGGGTGCGGAGACATAATCCACGAAGATTCAGTGAGTAGAATAAGATGCAGTAGTTTTTACTCTTTGCACCTCAGACGTTTCATAGAAGTTGGTTTTAAAGCACTATGTACCCCTTTTTTAAGAGTCACTTTTTTCTTTTGTGGTAAAGAAAAGACACAAAGGAAGCGGCCGTCTAATTTACCCCACTGCCCTCTGCATGTCCAGTCGGAGGGCCCCACGCCACTTCCTGTCTGTGTGCTCACCGCACTTGCCGTCTGCTGCGCTTCACTCTTCCTTGTTTGTTTCTGGGTTTGTTTGTACGAAGGTCCAATCCATCTCCAAATTCAAGATCAGAAAGATCCCTGACTGCTTCTCAAGATCCAGAACATTCTTTGACGGAATATATTCACCATTTAGAAATGATCCAGCAAAGACTAGGGGGAGTACCACCAGGTAAAAGTCCTTTTCTAATTTTTAAACAATGTAAATGTACACTAGGAATATAAAATAATGTGGGAAAGACTTTAGCTTAGTGACTGTTAATTTCACCCCCAATAATGCACTGTGATTAGCAGCATCAGAAGAACAACTGTAGTGAAATGGTGACTCAGTCAAGGAGTGTTGTGGCTGGTTGGACTCATCACCAGCTGGCGTTTTGGTCCTTTCTCTTATACTCGTAAAAAAGTAAAGATTGTTTCAGCCAGGATGTACTTTTCCCCAGGTTTTTTAATCATCATAATTTAAACTACTGTATATTTTAATTATTCAGATTTTTACCAAAAAGAGGATATTCATTTAGTAGTAGTGTTTCAAAATTGTGAAATTCTTCTTGAAAGATACGTGAAGCCTTCTAACAAATTGCTACATCATTTTTACTTGTATTTAGATTCTACTTCAAAGAAATCCTGCTGCCAGAAGACTAAACAATGAATAAAGTCCTCGTGGCTTTCACCCGTGGCAGTCCTGCTTGAGTAAGAGAGGCTTGCGGCGCGGCGTGCTGAGTGGTGCCCAGTCTCCTTACGTGCCTGGGATGCCCACCCAGGGCGCCGCTGGGTGTGTCCGCACCTTCGTGCATTGCTACCGAGCCAAAGGGAGTATTTTTATGTAATTCCAGTAGGTTTAGGGCCTTGCCTTCGTGAGGTGACATGGGCTCTTGTGAGTGATGGGCACCTGCCCGGGTCTTTGTGTGTCAGCAGAGCTCCCCTGCCTGCCTCCGAGAAGGCTGAGCAGAGAATGGCTCACTGTTGTTTATTTTCTTAGTGTACAGATGGAAACTGGTTTAAAAACAAAAACAAGAAAAAAAATCAAAGAGAGGATATAATTAAAGAACTATTTTATTTGTGAAAAGCTCTTGTGTTGTTTTTTAGTTTTATCCAGTTTGCTTTTATCATTGAGAAAAACAAAAAAACACAGACCTAAATTTGTGTTAAGTTCCTGATAGTGAGAATTTTCAGTGGAACTCAAAGTACTCTTTCACCTGGTGGGACCCTTGCCTGTTGCTCCATCTTACTTGGTTTCTCACTTTACTCTTGTACGAGGTGGCCACTCTCACGACCATGATCTTTTTACCTTTTCCTGATACTTGCACCACCTGGTATCTGGCCAAGTACCCTTTACCCAGAAATCTGTACAGGTGTATTTATTAGCATCTCAGCATGTTTTTAGGACCTTTGAATGTGACATTTGTTTTTCTAGGCTTAATTAGATTTTAATATGACAACTGTTTCTGAATCTACTTATTTCAGTGATATTTTCTTTAATGTGCAACACTGTCTGCACTTTCTGCATATCAGCTGATGCTGCTGTAAGGTCACTTGTTTAGAACCTTTCCACATCTTCCTCTGAGTTCTCTGCTCTTTTGCCTGATTTGCTGAGGCTGAAATCCTTGCAGAAGTCAGCAGCTTGTACAGAGCAAACAGGCTGAGTTGAACTGGAAGCACCTGGGCAGGTGGCCAGCGCAGCCCACCCTTGGGCTACTAAGCATTTGTTCTTACCATCCCTCCCAAATTTAATTACCTCCCAAATGTAATTTAATACAACCACCCAGTGCGAGGCAAATATTCTTCCCCCTCTTTCCAGGGCCCCCAGGGTATCATATCTCAGAGATGTAGACTACTCCAGGACTGATTTGTGCAGTTGGTGCACCCCAGCCTGGCACACAAAACAGGCAAGCTGGAAGTGGGTGTCCAAGGCAGGCATTAAAGTAAAAGTGCTACGTCCTGCTTTCATAAGTTGTCACAAGGCTCCACTTGATGTTTATCACCTCCTCCTTCCTTCACCTGTTCCTTGTTTCTGAACCTCAAGAAGCACCTTGGCTGTGTGGGTGACCTAGACTTCTTTTCTGAAAGATTTGAAACCTTAATAGTCTTGTTTTTAGAGAACTTCCTTTCTTTTGCAACTGAACGTGGAAGTACTAAGTACCAAGAGGTGCCCTGTGAAACAAATTACAGGCACAGATTTTCCTGTCCTGTTTGTGTGCCAACCACCCATTTCCCCTTGGTAATCAGAGTCAGTCACACCAACCAGTACGGTAACCCTATTGTTGCTTGCTGGTTCAGATGTCTCACTCATTCAAAGGGACCGTTGTCATGTCTGGTGGAAGCCACCCTCCCTTGGGAGAGCAGAGCCCTGTAAGAGGGGCCATTCCTGTCTTCACCCTTTGAGTTTCCAGGCCTATAGACTGTGGCCTTGCGAGAAATGGCATTACGAGTGAGTCCTCAGACGGCAGGCTTTTCACATCCATTAGGTGCACTCCTTCTGGTTGAGGGAGGCCATTCTGTGGCCGTAAGCCTAGCGCCACACTTTTGCTCCCAGAAGCATTTTCTGGTCATTAGCAATCATGATGAATAATATTTGGAAAGTCTACAAATGACTGTGGAGCAGGAAAACCAAATGCATATCCTGTAGGAGTGGACAGCAACTTGGGGACAAGTCAGCAGCACAAGTTTAGGAGGGACTTAAGCCACTTGGTCATACCATTTACTTTTGCCTGCTTGACCTGTTTTGAGTCTCGTCTCATGTCATTGACACCAACTCTCCAACATCAACTGAGTGTCCTACAGTTCATTTCGGTTCTGATGCTACCTGCAGATAGCATGGCTGTGGGCTGGGCTCGCAGACCCAGCCATGATGGGTTCCCCAGGCTGCACACACTTCTGCCTGGCCCACTATGAATTTGGGGTTTTTCACAACCATTCCCCTCAGGTTTGGTAATCAGCTAGAATGACTCAGAACTCAGTAAAGTGCTTCACTTAACATCACCAATTTACTGTAAAGGATATAACTCAGGAATAGCTGCATGGAAGAGATGTGTGGGGGCAGGGCACAGAGCTTCTGAGCCCTCAGCTGGTGTGCCACCCTCAGAACCTCAGTGCGTTCATCAGCCTTGAGCTCCCTCAAACCTCATGCAATGGTTTTTATCACAGCCTCATGACGGAGTCATTATTTGCCCAGCAATAGTTTCGGGATGGACCAGCTCCTGAAGCTGTCTAGGGGCCCACTATGAGTCACTGCACCAAAAACTCAGGTACGAAAGGGGCTTATAACAAAACACACTCCTGTCACTCAGGGAATTTCAAAGGCAAAGACTAAGTATATTTTTTATCACAACTTGTTTAGGTAGCACTTCATGCGATGGTGGGTTGCTGCTGCTCGTCTTGGTAGCTCGGTGATCAGACAGCACCGGTGCGCCATGGCAGCTCGGGCTGTGCAGTGCTTGGTATCCCGTGGGCAGGACTTGGGTCTCCACCAGGACTGAGGAGTGGGTCAGCAGGAGGCAGAGCTTTGCGTCAGGGGGCTTTCCATATCCTTCTCTGCTAAGGCACTTGAAGCACCATTGAAACTTACTATCCAGGTCTCACTCAAAATTAATAGCCTACGGCTACCTTAGTAAATAGACTAGAGTAGCACTCCCAAATATGGTGGTCTCCAAAATCCAAACAAGCGAAGCCTTGCACCTTTCTTAGGTGTTGGTAGTGCAAGGTGTGGCTACTTGTGTTTCATTTTAGAAAGGATGCTGTGACATTCCACAGACTACTTACTTGAGCCCTAGAAACTTGGCCAAAGTGATGGATTTTTCTCTCACCTTTCAGTACTAGTCTTACTAAGGCATCTAGGGTACTTACTGCTTCCTGGTCACTGGGGCCAGTTACTATGACATCTATAATGTAATGGATCAAAATGACATAGTATCTAAACAAAGACCCCGAGATAGTGAAGGTTACTGCCGTCTCTGGTAGCTGAAATTGAACTGATCACCCTTTCTAATTGGTATTGAGAAAAGCGTGATAAGGGAACCTGGACATAAAACTGACTGCACCTGGGGCAGGCGCTGTCGCTTCTGGGCCCAGGTCAAGTGTGAGGTGTGCTGTGGGAGAGCGGCCTGTACAACAAGTCAGGAATCGTGGGAACAGCTCTCCACTGAACACGAAACTGTGTCTGCTCAGCCCGCTGGAACAAAAGACCACAAACCCTGGGTGGCTTATAAACGACAAATGCTTTTCTCAGTCCTGGAGGCTGGAAGGGTCCTGGTGGGGGCTCTTTTCTGGGTTGCCACTGTATTCATCTGGGGAGAGCAGAGAGGGTAAGCAAGCTTTCATGACTCTCACATGGGCACAGAGCTCATGAGTGCTCCGCCCTCAGGACCTTGTCTAACCCATTACTGCCCGAAGCTCCCACCTTCCAACACCTCGCACTGGGGAACAGGATTTCAGCATGTGAATGGGGCAGGGGAGAAATGTTCAGTCCATAACAAGTATTGTATAAACTGGGCCCAGTATTGTAGAATTGTATACCCAAAACCTATATAGTTTTATTAACCGATGTCACCCTAACTTTTAGGGTGGTTAATAAATTCAATAAAACAAAAAACTGGGCCTGAGCAGACCCACAGGCCTAAGTGAGTGAGCAGAGTGGTCTCGGTGCTGCATTTCCCACTTCACTGCTTCCCCTCCGGCCTGCATCTGCGGGCTTGTGGGACGTCCCTACGACCTCCAGTGGATAACAGAAGAAAGCATAGTTTTTTAAAAAATGTATTTAGGTTTATTTTAGAGGAAGGGAGAGAAAACACCTATTTGTTGTTCCACTTTTGTATCCTCACCCAAGGATACACTTATTGATTTCAGAGAGAGGGGAAGGGAGGGAGAGAGAGAAACATGGATGTGAGAGGAACATTGCTTCGTTGCCTCTTGCACCTGCCCCAACAGGGGGATCAAACCTGCAACGCAGGCATGTACCCTGATCTGGAACTGAAGCTCCGACCCTCCGGTTTATCACACATTACTCCAACCAACTGAACTACACAGGCCAGGCCCATTCCACTTACTGATGCATTCATTGGTTGATTCTTGTATGTGTTTTGGCTGGGATGGAACCCACAACCTTGCCGTTATCAGGACAATGCTCTAACCAGCTGAGTGACCTAGCCGGGGCTGAAAGCATGGGTTTGTTCTGTGGAGGGATCTATACCGTGTGCCAGCATCGCCCCGAAGGAGGCAGTGGCTGCACTACAACCCAGCTTATGGCTGGATTTCCAGGTGGCAAAACTCCGCATGGTGTGTCTGACAGTCCATTTCACGTGGAAAGAGTCGACCTGAGTTGCTGATCTGTAAGTGTTCATGTGTAGTGGGTAATCAGTTGCCCGGCTGGTTAATAACTTGACAGAGGAAAGATCAAAAGATTGGTACCCAGGAAGTCGGACAGGACAGGTGTGTAAACAGACCTCTGCCTACCTGAAGACATCCACTGTGGAAATGGGATGTGATGGACAAGACAAAGTATCTGTGGATGTCGCTCAGCCTGTTTCTTTAGCAACGTGATGCTTTCTGAACGAACTCATGGACGGTGGCCAAGTTGGCAGGAAGGAGCCTTAACATTGGTTCAACAACCTAAACTTCCTTTCACCAGGGTTTCCCTGGCTTCTGCCACTTCTGCGTCTGAATTGCCAACACTGGAGGCCAATGCTGAGGCCTTGTGATGACCTGTTTCTTTCCAGTACAGAGGAGCAGTGATTTGGCCTCCCGGGAATAGTCCCACATTCCAAGCCTGAATTTGGCTTCCCTGTCCACAGTGCATCTGCCAATGCCACCATCCATGGGTTTAGAATGTCTTCTCCTTTGCTGTCGTTCTGCACAACACCGCCTCTTGGCGGCAGGCATATGTTAAGTCAATGGATGTGCAGGCATGAGTGCACGCTCTTGGAATTCAGTGCTCGTAGCAAGCGTTGGAGGAGGTCCTTGAGAGGACATGACTGACCGTTGACCTGTGAGCCGGACCCAGAGAATTGCGGGCACCTCCTACTCCACTCGTGTTCTTGGAATGTGTGTCTTGCTTGCCTTGCTGGCGGTAGA